TTATTGAGTATAATAATACTAATTACCTATGAATACATAAATTTGACAGAAAAGGTACAAAGGCTTGTTATTAAGATGTTTTATCAAGTAAATCACTGCTTTATTATTATGAATGCATAAAATTGTCCCAAAAAAGGCACAAACCCTTCAGTAGTTATTGAGATAACAGCTTACAAGCAAAACTTTACCATGAATTTCTAAGTTGAAAAAGGGGAGAAAAATCAGCCTAAATGCAAGATAGAATTATGGATCTTTGTCAGTGACCTACAATTATGACCCTACATAAATTTGACAGAAAAGGTACAAAGGCTTGTTATTAAGATGTTTTATCAAGTAAATCACTGCTTTATTATTATGAATGCATAAAATTGTCCCAAAAAAGGCACAAACCCTTCAGTAGTTATTGAGATAACAGCTTACAAGCAAAACTTTACCATGAATTTCTAAGTTGAAAAAGGGGAGAAAAATCAGCCTAAATGCAAGATAGAATTATGGATCTTTGTCAGTGACCTACAATTATGACCCTAAATGCATATGTGAAGTTTTAAATAAATATCTTTAATAGTTATTGAGATATGTAAAACTTGCATGTAAACATTAACCAAGAGACTAAGTAGAAAAGGGGATATGAATCAGCCTTAATGCAAGATAGAGTTATGGAACTTGGTCAGTGACATACAATTATGACCCTCCAATTATGACCCTAAGTGCATGTGTAAAGTTTCAAGTAAATATCTTTGAAGACCTTTAACCTTTAACCAAAATTTCTAACTTTCAAAGGGGCAAATAATTCTGCAAATTTTGCAGACAGAGTTATGCAATTTTGCAAACTGATGTACATTGTTACTATAAAAAAAGTATTTTAAATTTCAATTGAATATCTCAAGCAATAATTGAGATATTTGACTTTATAAAAAAACTTTAACCAAAATTTCTAAGTTCCAAAGGGGCAATAATTCTGTCAATATTGTAGGCAGAGTTATCCAACTTGTCAATCTGATGTACCTTGTTACTATAAATAAGTATTGTAAGTTTCAATTGAATATCTCAAGCAATAATTGAGATATTTGACTTTACAAAAAAACTTTAACCAAAATTTCTAAGTTAAAAAGGGGCATAATTCTGTCAATATTGTAGGCAGAGTTATCCAACTTGTCAATCTGATGTACCTTGTTACTATAAATAAAGTATTGTAAGTTTCAATTGAATATCTCAAGCAATAATTGAGATATTTGACTTTATAAAAAAACTTTAACCAAAATTTCTAAGTTAAAAAGGGGCATAATTCTGTCAATATTGTAGGCAGAGTTATCCAACTTGTCAATCTGATGTACCTTGTTACTATAAATAAGTATTGTAAGTTTCAATTGAATATCTCAAGCAATAGTTGAGATATTTGACTTTACAAAAAACTTTAACCAAAATTTCTAAGTTAAAAAGGGGCATAATTCTGTCAATATTGTAGGCAGAGTTATCCAACTTGTCAATCTGATGTACCTTGTTACTATAAATAAGTATTGTAAGTTTCAATTGAATATCTCAAGTAATAATTGAGATATTTGACTTTACAAAAAACTTTAACCAACGCAGACGCCGACGCCGACGCTGACGCCGACGCCGACACCGGGGCGACTACAATAGCTCTCATATTCTTCGAATAGTCGAGCTAAAAATGGTGCATAGTATTCAATACAAATGAAAATAAGTGAATCATATAACAGCTATTATTCTTATAATATAAATTAATGGTAAAATATAACTAAACTAACACAATAATTATTTTAGTAACATACACATAGCAGCAGTTTACAAGTGATAAATAAATATATATATATTTTCTTCAACAAAAACAATTACCCTCACTCAGATAAAAAGAATCTTTAAAATAGCAAATATTTTTCAGCAACAAGGTCAAAAACATTTTTGGGTGACACCACCAGTATAATTTTGTCAAATTTTAGCAGTGAAAAAAATGTACACTTTTACAAGAGTATTTAACCCGTAACCTACTAGAGACAAAGAAATGATGAGCCTTTGCCACCAGTACAGAGACAGGCCATTTGTGCCATCTATGCAGTCTGACCAGGCTCTATACTGGTGGTAGCTCACTTTTTTGTAATTTGGGATTGAATTCCCAGGGCTGTTCCAATTTCAAAGCACTGCGAATCCATTGTGCAAATGAAGGGTTGACTCTTACATTATCAGATCTTACATCATCAGGTAATTTTGAAGTTAAGGCAGCATGCCTCCAGATTCATGTTAATTTTCTTTAAAAATTTTGGAAATGCATTTAAAAGTAAAATAATGTGAGGCAAACAAATAAAGTTATTTACATATTGCCCACGGCACTTACAATCCAAGAAAATCACCAGAACTTGGTCAACTTATGCAAAAACAGCCCTTACTGTGTTAGAAACGCAGTAGAAATATGGTGATAAAATACTGCAAAATCTGTCATAAACCGCACATAACATGTAAAATGTAACTTGGATCTTCAATGATTTTACCTTTCTTAAAATTTTAGTATATTTTTATCAATATTGATTTTCTTGAATTATTTTGGCTCATCTGGAGACGTGCAGCTTTAACACTAATGGTAATATTCTAGATATACAGTAACAGATATATAAATACTTGGAATACACCTGGTTAAAGGGACTCCACCAACATTTTTCACCATGATAGGACATAAAATATTTTTTCGAGATATATGTCCAATTTGATGTAGGTCTAGACCAGCTACTTGCGTGCAAATTTTCAGATCATTCACTCAGTCTGTTTTTCCCATACTACTTATTTGAATTATGATAAATTATGAAAATTGAAAACACTTTTCACTCAAATTGGCTGCAAATTGCACAAAAATATGATTGTCATTTATTTCTGAGTATATTCTTTAAATTTTTTTTTGCATATCTTTCCGTAGCTCAACTACATAAGATGTTTTATGGCTTTTGACCCTCAGTGGAGTTCCTTTAACATACAGAATTTATGCAAATTATTTTGTTTGGCAAAGAATAATACACATGTTAATACTTTGGCTTGAAATTCCCTCTTTAAGGTGACAACGGAGACAATTATCACTGAAAATACCTAAAATGAGATTTTTTGCTTAGTAGATTTATCCACCTTTTCTGAACACATTCATGATTTAATTTTGGAAGCAGTTAGTCCAAAAAATGTGTTTTTAAATGTTTTAAAACGGTACCTGTACCATTTTTATCTGCTATTCGCGTAACCTGTCAATTATCGATAACGCTCCGCCCCCTGTTGAGGCATCAATGAGGGAAATCGGTAGTTCCATATATGCGTGAATTACCGGTCCATACTGGTCCATATTACTCGTAATTCATGTATCGTACATATACCGAATATCGTCTACCTTTTATTTAGCCTTTTTTACAAAATAAGAAATTGTCGGCCAATGTACGTAACACAATGTATGAAACATAAATAATTAAGCATAGCGGCAAATCGCACGACCACGGGGTTGATTAAAAATATAGTTGCTAAAATATTCATAATGTGTGAAAATAATTTGTCTGTCCCGTTTATCTGATGGACTTTGTACGGATTCAAGGGCTTGTTTTACATTAAACCTCGTTTTCTAACAATGTCAAGTAAAACAACAACAAAAACAGACAACATTTTTAATGTGAACGCCTATATGACTTGTGGTAAGGTGTCCCTGACAAATTTCTAAACCATTTTAGGTTGTCTAAGGATGATTATTTCTCTATGAATCAATAAAAAAAAAAGATAATAAAATATATTATCAGTGAATGGTTTGAATAAATCGAACACACAGTACTAATAAACCTGGGACAAAGTATGGAATTTATTGTATATCCCAATTAAAACTGGATCTCTATGCCGTGCTGAGATGCATAGATGATATTCATGATAATAGAAGTTAAGAAGGTCAGATCATAATGATCGAGTGATACCTTTTATTTCTATTAAAATATGTTAAGCATTTATATCAATTTGGAGGGAAAAAATATTTAATATCCCGTTCTTATTTGTATATATACCATGGACTTTAAAAGACCGTCAGAAGCTCATTTTTTTAATTTAATTTATATTTTAACGGAATTTCATAAACGAATACACAGAGTGACACTGGTATAATATAATAATAATGTTGATGATAATAATAATAAACTTCAAAAGTGAAACAATTAAATACCCCGCTAGCAGTGCGCAAATAAGTTCCATTTCCCCCCATCGAGAGCCTCAAATTTTATCGAAAGTCACGTGACATGTGCGACCGATACCAGACGGACGGTAAATCACAATGACATTAAGATTTGAAGAAATTTCTGTAATAAACTGATATTAATCAGCATCTTTTAAATTGGTCAGATGTCACTGGGTCATAAAATGTTGTTAGAGTATGTACCGCAACTTGTGACCCTCTATGGTGCGATATTTGTGTATTATGCAATTATTTAGCGTGAAACGTAGAGGTCCGAGAGAGAACAGCCGATTTATGACACTTCGTTTGATGCGGGTCGGACTAACTTTGAATCGGCATAACTTTTTTAATAATCAAGCAATTAACATGCGGTTAAAAGCACATGAAAGGGAATTTATTTACGGAGGGAACCGTGTCGGGGATTTTTGTTTGCTCAATCAGCGGCTTAATTATCTTTAATTACGTAATATGTTTGGTGAAAAAAGTCGCATAAAATGTTTGACGTTACGTAATATTTTTTTGAGAAAAGATAGAAAAAATTTGAGACACGGTTCCCCAGATATTATAAGTATGTTTATTTTCCAAAAGTTTGATGACAAAAAAATAAAAAATGACTTTGATATGACGACTTAAAATTTTAGGATTTTTATTAAAAATTAATCATTTACAAAGGCATTTTTTTTCAAATATGTTATTTTTTATGATAATCAACGACATTTTATGCACAAAGATTAAATAAATAACAATTATTACTAAAATAAGTTGGTTTAAATGACATTTATGTGAGTACCACGGAAAGTGTCTGTTGTCACCTTAACAAATATCAAAATGTAAATGTGTGCAAAGAAAACATACTGTATAAACATGTTTATAATCCAAGTATTAAAGTAATCAGGTATCCACCCATGCGCCGTTTACAGGGGTTTTGTAAAGAATAAGTAATTTCCAAAAATTATATGTATGTAGTAACTATGTATCTCAAGAAGTTAATCCAAAATTAATTCAAAATGCTTTCAATATTGCAATAAATTTCCAACTTACATGATTTTCTCTGAGACTACTGAATTCCTTCTAACTATAATCAAAATATATTTTTTTATCACTTACAAACTTTTTTTTAGAAATATTTTGGATTGAAGAGCAGTGATTTAGCCAACTATCACTGATAGTCTATCACTGTCCAAGTGGCTGTGGGGTAAAAATACAATTTTTGTAAAAACAATTTTACTTAGGTTATTCAATACAAAATTGTTCATTTTTCTAAACCAGATGGGAAATTTAAAATATTTCTATTCTCACTGAATGGGCAATGCTGTGTGGAGCAGGGTGTGCTGCAGAACTTTTACACTATACAATATCAAATTTAAAAAAAAATCTACTTAATATAAAAATGACTAAGATTGCTTTTTATTTTTTCCCCGAGCAGGTTGTGTCTTCCTGCTTTTGCTATCATCGTCTAAAGGCCCATAACTTATACATTCCACACAGTTTGTTGGACCTTGAGCTGAGAGACCCCCGATCACATATAATTTCCCGTGGTGTGTTATGTACGCGCAAGAACAATGTGACAATGACATGTTTTTACCAAATGACCACGTGTCCGTCTCTGGATTATAAATTTCCACTGTGTCAAAAGGTTTTCCATCATTACCTGTAACAGTTATAAGGTTATATTGGCTAGGTAATACATACATCAAAACATGCAAAACTTAAGTTTATATTGACTTTAGATTATATATTCATCAAAACATGCAAAACTTAAGTTTATATTGACTTTAGGTTATATATACATTAAAACTTGTAAAACTTAAGTTTATATTGTCTTTAGGTTATGTATCCATCAAAAGTTGTGTATCTTGAGCTAATTTCATCATTTTATACACTCGGAAATCTAGAAAGTATTTCAAATAGTTAAAATATTTTCAAATGAATTAATAAAATAATTTAAGCTAGCACAATGTATTGGGAACTCAAATAAATTACTTAAAATATAATTTAATATCTGTTAACTATAAAAGTTAACAGATTGAAAATAATTCAAGCCAGGATTTAACTTAAGCTAAGATATTCAAATTATTTGAGTCAGTTTACTCTTAAGCTCAATTAACTTGACAAATAAACACTCTGGGTTTTTTTTTTTAAAGACTAAAGAAAGGCAATAAGCATACCTAATCCTCCGGCACAAATAACCTTGTCCTCTATTACACCGATAGCAAAGTCGCCACGAGGGGAGCTCAAGTTTTTACCAATCTTCCATTCCTCTGTGAAAAAAAAAACAACCTTAGTATTAAATATCAAAATTGCCCTGTTGAAATAAAAAAAAATTAAATTATATATGAAAATATCTCTGTTTAATTAAGAAAAAAAATATAATTAATTAACTAAGGAGATCCACTGTGCAATTCTTAACCTATGTTTAGTAAAAACGTCGACAATCTTTTCATTTCCAGGTCACTCTGCACAACTAAATTGATTATTTTACAGAAAGGGAGTTTCTAAATGGTCTGAAAATTTGCACAAATGTTAATGGTCCTGATCTACATAAAATGAAACACAAATTTACAAAAACAAAATTCCAGTCGCGTCTTATCAAAAAACCTCAGTGGTCTCCGTTCAAAACATAATCTGTTAAACTATGTTAACAAACATGTAATCAAATATCAAACCTCTGTAACCGAACCATAAAAACAACGCAAAATATAATATTATATATTCGAATTTTTGTGTTTCACATTTTCACTGCAGGTAACTATATTAATTAAATAATTACATGGTCTTTGTCTGAAATATATCTAAGAATTACCAAAATTTTAAAGTTCAGATAACATCCTTTGGACTATTTCCTCAAGAAAATCGGAAACTAACATCAGGCTATAAAATTGTCAGTCTTGCTTAATTCCCAAGCAAATAAAATAACAACCAACAGTTCCTTTCACCCAAAGCTGGACACAATGTCACCTTAAATTCAAAATCTTGAAGAAAACGTTTTAAATTACCCTTTTCCAGGTCAAAGACTTCACAAACATTTGAGAAACCTTTCTTTCCTGGTTGTATCAAACCTCCGATGCTGAAGATGTACTTATCTGTTGCCGCGTACATTGCAAACACACGTTTTGACGGCACGTCAGGTAACTTACACCATGAATCCTCCGAAAAATCATACACCTCAAATGCGAGACAAGGTAATTTTCCCACTCTTCCACCTGAAATAAATAGATCCTAGAAATCTCACTGATCTAAATACATTTATATCTTCAATGTTTATGTAATAGTATGCAACCATGAGATCTACGATACCCTTTTAATTCAAGGGACAATTTATGCTCTGTTTTTTTATTAAAATGGCATTATGCTCATTTTTTCATTGTCAAGTTGAGCTGAATTGACTATATACATTGTATTTCAAAAGATGGACTTATTATTTTAATGGCGATAGACCAATAGTTGATATTGGAAAATATTTAGTATAACATACATATCTGCCTAAAATATAAAAAGATTGCCTCACACTTTTAATAAATTGAAATTTCAATAGATATTTACAGAAATGTCCTTGGGGATTGCAAGTTGTATATCGTTCATGCAAAGTGAATTGTTAAATTAATGCATTATGACAAAATGTAAACTTTTTTGACTTTCACCTGTTTACGCACAATATATCACTTGATGGACATAATGTCACTTTCACAAAAATTTGAGCTTTATCAGCTACAAATTTTAAAAGTGATTGATCAACGATGATAAATGTTCAGGATAAAAAACCTGCATAAAATATTAAAAGAATTCCCAACTCTTTTTATAAACTGAACGTTACTAAAACATTCTAACGATATTTATCATTATTCCTTGAGTAAATTATAAACTGAAAGCAATAATGGCAAAATGTTATTTTGACTTGCATCTGTACACTCACCATTTAAACTTAAATGGGCATAATGTCACTTTAATTAGGAAATAGATATTAACTCTGAGTGCATTGTTGTAGAAAAATGCATGGTTCGAGTTTCAAAGGCTACAATGCACGAAGAATTGATATCGATTTCCATTCTCATCAAGAAAATAATAAAGTTGGACTATATGTTTGGTGGTTAAATTTGTTTTCGCATAAGAGTTTCCGATAGAACGTTCTTAAAAGGCTGTTCAAGTCGTTTGAAAAAAACTGTTGTTAAGTCTACCATTCCTGGGAACATTTTGAAAATAATGAATTTTGAAAACATTGATAAAATTTGTGTATGTTTATTTTATTTAACTTTATATTTTTCAAGTGAAATACAGAGTATTCATAGTGAAATAAATGTGAAAATTTTTTGATGTGGAAATGAAAACAAGGCTGTATATGGTATGAATTGGTTTGCAACATTGAAATAGCATTCTTGTTTTGATGGTCTTTGCAGAAAACACAAAGGAACTTACCAATAACATATAGTTTGTCATTGATGATGAAAGAGAATGTAGCATATCTGGCAGTAGGCATAGGTTTTAGTCCCTTCCATTTATTTTCATCCAGATCTATCATCATGAAACTATCATTCGGATTTGTGTCAACACCCATACCTCCCATTACCAGAACCTTGTCATCTGTTAATAATGCATTTCACCTTTATTATATGTTTTACATGGTATAATTAATTAAGCCCTTAATCGGTAAGAACATGTAGAAAGTGGAAAGGCTTTTGCCACCATTATAGCCCAAGGCCAGCCTGTATATCCATGCAGTTTGACCAGGTTCTATGCTTTTCAAGGCTAAATTCAAAGCAGAGTATATCTTTTCAACCAATTCATGAGGATAAGAGATTGAACAATCAAACTTGTCCTACAATGAGACAGACAACCTTTAACTATTATGTAAGGCCAGTATTTTATTTAAATTTACAATTACAACTTGACATTCCATTTCACCCGTAAAATTATGGGTTCTGACATTCTACATGTATGTGTCACAAGGGTTTTATATTAAAAAGTTATACACTTTTAATGCAGAGTCATACAAAATGAGTTAACATCACTAAGTAAGAATTAATTTTATGAATACAGAAACAATTGTTTAAAGTTTTATAAAAAAAAATCCTATGTATTGAAAGAAAATCAATAAAATGAGCCGCATCACGACAAAACCAACATAATACGTTTGCCACCAGCATGGATCCAGACCAGTTTGCGCATCCACGCAGTCTGATCAGGATCCATGCTGTTCGCTATCAGTTTCTCTACTTGTAATAGGGTTTGTAAGCTAACAGCATGGATCCTGATCAGACTGCGCGGATGCACAGGCTGGTCTGGATCCATGCTGGTTGCAAACGCATTACGTTGGTTTTATCATGGCACGGCTCAAATTTACCTTTCAAGACTGATGAAAGGCCTAGAAGTCCACTAGGAAGGTTGTCCATTTTCTCCCACTTTTTATCTTTTATACTGTACATTTCTATAGCATCTACAGGTTGCTGACAATCTCCAACACCTCCCACAGCCACTATCTTGTCTCCAACCACCCCTGAAATACATTACATTCTATAAATATCTTAGGTGTTGCTTTACTTCTGTTAAGTATTAAAGAAGCCCAAAGGTCTCGAGGTACATGTAACAGTATTTAACTAAAAAGTCAGTGGTAACGGAAGTTTGATTCCAAACCACTACCACTTTAATTTCACAAGTTGTTAATAACGATAGCAACTTTACAGGAGCTGTCCATAAGACTGTACGCTCAATTATTCACAGTGCTTGACAGTAAGAAAAGGGATATATAACAGTAAAAAGGTAACACAGAGTTATGCGACATGTGCCTATTATGTTAGATAATCACAGAGAACAAGAGTGTGAAGTTTCAACATATGACACAAAAACAATAACTGTCCCTATTCGCAAAAACCATGGCTCTATGTCTATGTCTGTATCCATACCATTATCCTAAAGTAGCATGAAGTTACATAGTGTTTTCTGGAGTGAGCTGCCTAAATAGTGTTCCAGTGGTAGCTATAGATAAACATTCAGCGATTTTTTGTTTACTAGAAGATGGATGCAGGACCCATAAAGAGGGGAATATTACTTAGCAGAGAAGAAAATTTAGAGGGAAAGAAATTTTGTTAAAGGGAATCTTACCTTATGTATCCTCTTCTATTGTAGGAGAAAAGGCCCTGGGTGTACAATGTATTACCAATACTCAAATATAGCCTACAAATTACTTCACAAGGTATGAATAAAGAAAAATTCATATTTCTTACATGTAGTAAGTTAATTTCTTACAAAATGGTTGCAACTCCTTCTTTTAGTACTATGAAGATGAACCAGCAGTTTTCGATAAAAAAAGACCTTGTATTTTGTAATTTCAGTCCATACTACTAGGACAGTCAAAACAAAATCTTCAACAGGAAGAATTTAAATAACTTACCTGTTTATTTTCTAAATTTTAGCTTTAGGTTATTATCATTTTATATGCCATGATTGTTTACAATAAACACCTACCAACAGCAGGTGCTGCCCTCTTTGTTGGCATATTTTGTAAAGTGGTCCATTTTTTCTTTGTGATGTCGTACATTTCAAAGCTGTCGACAGGCTGACCCATCTGATCACACCCACCAACTACATAAATGTTATTCTCATGTACAACAGGGCTGGAGAACACACGAGGGTAGACCATCTTCTTGAGAGAGTCGGACTTGAACACACAATTCACATCGTTACTAGCCATCCTGTAATGAAATACGATAAATGAGCTGCATCATGACAAAACCAACGTAATGCCTTTGCGACCAGCATGGATCCAGACCAGCCTGCGCATCAGTTTCTCTACTTGAAATAGGGTTGTAAGCGAACAGCATGGATCCTGGTCAGATTGCGCGGATGCACAGGCTGATCTGGATCCATGCTGGTCGCAAACCCATTATGTTGGTTTTGTCATGGCATGTCTCAAATCTACTTCATTTAAATCAGTGACAGAATCTCAATAATCTGAACAGAGAATTATGACAGTAAGTGGGTTAAGAATAAGATTTTGTTCAAGAGAAATATCAATTATTTAAAAGATAGTAATATCTTATTTTTTTGCATTTTGTTGACAATGGTGCAAGAAAGAACTCCTCTTATAAGGAAAAAACTTTGCATTTTGGCTGTCATCTCATTTTCAAGCTGTGTGTAAAATCTTAAACAGAAACTTAAAGGAAGCTTCATTACTACTGTAAACAGATGCAGTCTTGCTAGGATATTCAGTACTGGCAGCCTGTGTAAGATTTCAAATACTTATAATATATTTTTAAGCTTATTCTAGTTTAGTAGCAATTAAAATATCAACAGTGGTCAACGCTTAAGCAACATGCTTAAGTATCCGCCTAGTAAACAAGAGGTCTCAAGTTCAATCCTGAGTCAGTAACTAGGTTTACACAAAATTCAAAAATGAAATGGTGACATGGTGAATAATATTAATACTGTGACTCTTCTAATGAATTACTTAGCACTTTATCTGATAGTGGTAAATGTGTAGACCAAGATCAACAGCCACATCCATCTGTCTGATCACAGTTTATCCTGTTGCTAATTTGTACATATTTTAAGATTTATCAAAAAAAGATCTCTAGTTTGTCCGAAAAATGGACAAAACCCTTCCCTGATAAAAACCCTCCCATTCAAAAATGACAAGCTGGAAAAAAGCTCTCCTGTGAAAATTGTCAACATGACCTTTGTAAATGGCTGTCAGGAATTAACTAGAACTGTAGAAAGCTTGATCATTAGGAACTAATTGATTAATTTTTCTATTGTAACTTAAAGCAAAACCAACCAAGTTTTCACTCACTAACCAACGCCACACATCTATTGGAAGCTGTACAGTAGAGGCTTTTCTATTAAAGGAAAAGTACATGTTAAATAGCAGGCTACAGTTGCATTTAGCTTTTTACTATTTCGACTATCTGATAATGATATATCCGAATACAGTGATACTTGACAGGTCCTTGAGTTAATGCTGTATGAAAAGAAAGACAAAACAATTTCCATAACTGTTAAATTATCATTTTGAGACGAAATACCTTCTGTGCAAAAGAGATTAAATTAGATGATAAATTCTTTAGAAACAGTTTGTTTATGTTTGTTTATATCCGGCTCCTAATGACAGGTGTCCCGTGAAGATATAAAATCGTGAAAATTGCTAAAAAAACTCGTTATTAATCTTTTCCTATTGTACTCGTAATTGTTAGATTTTGATATCAAAGTTCTTGTTATTCTTTTGCTAATATTCGTATAAAAATGTGTTTTAATGAATAAAAGAATTGAATTGAATTGATAAAATACAAAAAAGTTAACAGGTTAATTCCCAACTAAACGTGCTAAAGAGATTAGGTAAATATTTATGTAAATTGGGGAAATTGAACATATACTCTTTTATACTATCAAACTTTAATTACTGCCCTGTCACCTGGCACTTCTGTGGAGAAAAGTACACAAAAAAACTAGAGAAAATTCAAGAAAGAGCATTAAGATTCATTTATGATGACTATCAATCAGACTATGACTCACTTTTAATAAAATCTAAAGTACCAAATTTAAAATTAAGACGAATCAGAACTATAGCCCTCGAAAGTCATAAAATTATTCATAAACAAGGACCAACATACTTACATGATCTTGTTAATATAAAATCTCATTCTTTTAATTTAGGTATAAAAAATGTAGCCATTATCCCTCAGGTAAGAACACCACCAGTTATGGCAGCAACTCTTTTCGTTCCAATGCACCTAAACTATGGAATTCACTTCCTCAACACCTCAGAATGGAAGTGAATTATGACCAATTTAAAAAGTCTAATTGGTGCATGGAATGGAGAGAGTTGCTCATGTACTTTCTGTCAATAAACCTGCATTATAGTTTAGCTCCATCTTCAGTATTGTTTCTTGCCTGCTTTCTTTTGTTTTGCTGCTTACTTACATGTATCTGTTTATTTCACATTTGGCTTAAATTTGTTAATATTCTCAACATAAAATGATTATGTACATGCATTATTTTCCAGTATGCTTGAATTTTGTTTGCTTATTGTCAGCTTTTGCGAAGTTTGCTTATTGAAGGAGGCTGCTGATCACTTCTTGCAAATTTTGAATTGGGGATTTTTATTTATAAAACCTAATTAGTGGTAACAGTTTTGTGATCCTTTTCATTTTCAATATCGTATTTCCTTTCTTTTATAGCAGTCCAGGCTAGGCCTGGGACCAGGGTCAAGATCAGCAGTATCCACCCACTTTTTATGTAATCTTATTTTATGTATGTGCTAATATATTCCGCATTTTATCTAGATATATATTATTTTATTCATGTATGATACAGTATAGAACTTTTAAGCATATCCTTAGCATAACATTACTATTTATTAATTATTATTATTTTATTTTAAATTATAACATTTAGTGTCTACATCCCATATTATAGTAATTTAACTTATCTTTTACCATTTGTCTTTCAAAGTTTCATATCTTAATGTGCTTCTTTTATGAGTTTTATGTTTATATCATTATGCATGTATGTCGGTCAAAAGCTATACATAGCTTATGTTTTGTAAAATGTTATATATGTATACCGACAATAAATAAATTTTGATTTGATTTGATTTGAATGGTATCAATATATTTACTGAAAATACCATTTGACTGGCAACATTATGATTAATAAATTTTTGGTACAACTGGTTCACATAATTTTAGTATGTTATTCCATTTGTGCCAGTGCCAAGACAATTTATGTTATACACAGACCTGGGACTTAAAATATGTAGGCCTAAGTCCACAGACACGGCAAACTTTGTGACGGTTTTGTAATGCATGTACATAATTATATAGAGGCTTTATAAGGTAATATAAATACGTACAATTTCGGACATAAAATGATTATCGTTTGCCAAAATAAAAAAGCATCCAATCCAATTCTGAATGCCTTTGATTTATAATGATTATGGGACAAGAAAAAAACACTTTCTTTCTTTCAGTCTGTAGAGTACGATTGCATACATGCTTTAAGCACGCGCGACAGCAAAGTACCTTATAATTTTAAGTTTTTTAAAAGTTTCTGGCTATATACGCACGTGAAAATCATAACGTGGCCACGCGTGCGCACGAGAAACCTATCGTATGGCCACGTACAATGGTTTTAAGTGTTTATGTAATAGCAATCACGTGACCATGCATTGCTATCGCTCGCGCAAATAATATATATTGCGTGGCTATGTTAAAACCTATCGATTGCATAGGTTTCATTTGCCCTCTTAATGCCACCGTTGTAGAGCATTCGTAAATACACCAAAGTTAAGTAACTAAAGAGTTGTAAAAGCAATTTACAACTTTTACAAAAATATATATAAATATATATATATATATATATATATATAATGTACCTTGTTTTTGTGTTGCTTATTAGGTTTTTCTCTTCATCTTCTCAATCTTAATATTTTCTACTGGTGCACAAACACCATAAATCTTACAGCCGTAGATATTATTCGTACTCTTGAGGCTTTTATTAAAATTAAAATAATTTTCTTTCACAAAAAAAAAGAAGTAAAAAGATATGTTACCGTCTTAAATTCTACTTTAAATTTTCTACGTAACTTCCACACAATATAAAAATGTTTTGTCTACAAACAGTTGTCTTATTTATGCCCGCACTCTATACAAAACGCACCTTACTGCATTGGTTACACGATTTATCCAAATACATTTCCATTAGTAAGTGAAGAAAATTATTATCTTTTTCATTATATACTGATCAAAAGTTCCAAAAAGACCTTTGAAACATGTTGTTAACTTTTTTTTTGAACAGCTAAGATTATTATTTATCAGATTTACACGTCCTAACACTGACCAAAGGTGTTAACCAAACTGGTTTCAACGCAATGATCCGATGATCCCACCTTGTGACGTCCGCAGCTGATAATGAACAACCATGGTCAAAGTATTTTTTTCATAAATATTCCTAGCGAGAGGATTATAATCAACAATGGAACTGATCCTCGGACGTGAGAGGTGCTCAGTTTATAATACGAGACATGATGCTCAGAGTGTGAGTGGTATTTAGATCTGAATTGTGATCAGTTTGTAACTGTCACGATTCGAGTTAATGATCAGTGAGTAATTTTCCTGGTTAATGTGTTCAGTGAGTAAATTTTCTAGTAAATGTTGTTTTCAGTGAGTAATGTCCCTGGTAAATGTTGTGTTCAGTGAGTAATGTCCCTGGTAAATGTTGTGTTCAGTGAGTAATGATCATGGTAAATGTTGTGTTCATTGCGTAATGTTCATGGTAAATGTTGCGTTCAGTGAGTAATGTTCCGCGTAAATGTTGTGTTCATTGAGTAATGTTCCTGGTAAATGTGGTGTTCAGTGAGTAATGTTCCTGGTAAATGTTGTGTTCAGTGAGTAATGTTCCTGGTAAATGTTGTGTTCGGTGAGTAATGTTCCTGGTAAATGTGGTGTTCAGTGAGTAATGTTCCTGGTAAATGTTGTGTTCAGTGAGTAATGTTCCTGGTAAATGTTGTGTTCAGTGAGTAATGTTCCTGGTAAATGTTGTGTTCAGTGAGTAATGTTCCTGGTAAATGCTGTGTACATTGAGTAATGTTCCTGGTAAATGTTGTGTTCAGTGAGTAATTTTCCCCAAAAATGGTGTTTACAAATGTTAAATTAAATCTTTTAAAGGGAGGGGATTGTTTCCATGTTATTTGCTCGAGGGCAATGTGTACCTTTTACCGGATATTTGAACATTTTATATGTAAATGTATTTGTAAAGAATATTTGAATGTTCTCTTTATATGGCTTAGCTTATCCGTTGGAAATGCCATCAATTTGGCGTGTATATTAAAGTATAAGAAAGCAACAATCGGTATGTACCTTTTATTTAAAATTGTAACATTTTGTATGAAGATCTATTTATAAAGAATATTCTAATGTTCATTTTATGGTTTAAGCTTCCAAACTCGGATGTAATCAACTTGCATAGCGGCATCTTCTCCGTTATTTTTGTCCGCGTTCCATGTTGGGTACCATTGACCACGTGCGTTCCAGAAATCACGTGCTGTGAATTCAGATTTATCTTGCCATGGTTTTCCCGTAGGACTGACAAATTTATCGGGGAAGAAACCCGTTCCTCCTATAGCCACATTCATGATAAGGAAAAACTGAAACATACCAAATAATGGGGATATTTATGTTTATGAAAGTGGAATCAGTTTTTTACAAGCGTATGCTATATTGAATAAATAAAAGCAAAACAATTTTAGTATTAGATCTAATAGTGAATAATACATGAAATATCATTTAAATCCTGGAAACCAAACCTCACACATCACTTTAGCAGAGAGCAGACAAATTTAATTGTAAATGGGACGTTTATAAATAAACTTTCAGGGGCGTAGCTTGAAAGAAACCAATGTGTAGGCACTTGTGTTAGGGGGGTACGGGGGCATGCTCCCCCGGAAAATTTTGAAAATCTACATTGCCATAGCTGCATTCTGGGGTATGTTAAGGCATGTTCTGAAGGAAGAGTATTCATAATTTTGCTGAGTTTTGGTTACATTTTTTTCCATCAATTTAAAGATGACCATACTTATATCACTTACTCAACGCAAAGCTACTGTGATATTTTGGCAAAAAGAGCTTTTTTCGGTACATAGTTTTGGGTAACAATATATGAATCCAAAACTATACATTTAAAAAGAACAAATTTATGCAAATTTTTAAGCAATCATCAAAATTTTAAATTCAAAATAAGGTTGTCTAAATATATAATTAGAAAATAATTAAAAGAAAGATCAACAAGATCAAACCCCATTAACTAAATGCACCCCTTTACACGTTACAATCGGTATTTAAATACCAATTGATGATGACATATGTAATGTCACACAAACAGCATCGAATACATTTTCTCAATAAGATTTTATGCACCCATAATTAATGAATGAAAGCCTTAGTGAAACATATACATGTATAGAACATAGAATAGACTGTTTACGGAAGTCAAACATATAGAGAGAGTAAAGACAAAGCAAACTTACACTTCCAGTACGTTACCTGCAGTAAGAAGAACTTTTATTATCAACATTTTTGTAACTTCAATGAACTATTTCGCGCGAAGTAGTGTCAGAATGTTCAGAAATCTTTTTTTTTACAAATTTTGTATGAATTACTGTCAGTGCGAATGAACTTGGCACGTCAGAACGGTCATATTTATTTACATGTTTATTTTAAGAACTAAAAAATCGGATATTTTCAATCATGTTTTTCCTTACATTCTTCCTTTCTTCTAATATTTCTCTATAAGTTCCCTTAGTCTCTCTATACTGTAGTGATAATTCAACAATCAATTATTCTCTTATTTTTTTCGCTGTACATTTAAAGAGCTTATAATTACATCTATCCGCAACATTTTGTATCTTTATTTTACATATTTTCCAATGCAATCTGAATTACATTGTTGTGAAATGTTTGTAAATGTTACTTTATGTGCAATTTAATGAATAAATAAAGTTTCATTAAAGTATAAATTAAAAAAGAGAATTGCATCGCCAGCTTTATAAGCAAACTCTCCACAACTACGCTAATAAATGCAGATTTTGATGTGTATTCGAACACATTACTTGTATATAGATCTATTATATATAATTAAAATACAGTTAAAAAAATATGTAATAACACAGATTATGTTTCACATTTACTTCAAATCGACTTGTGTTCAAGATTTGACGGAGATGCAGTTTGAACAGAATAATGTACAAATAATTAAATCATAAATGTCTAGGCTTCATTCGAAAGATATCGCTTAGCTTCCTCATCAGTTATATAAAGCTAGCACTACCGATATTTGGATACATGGCCGATCATTGTCGTGCATACTTGTAATATTTATATTTTGAATCGAAGCGCTCAAAAACTTTTATATTGTCAAAAACTTCATCCGTCTCTGATAGGTTTTACCACAGAACAACTTTATAACACGGCAACACTTTAGTTATGAAATAAAACTCGATATAAAGAGTATAAAACTCGATTGGTGGCATTAATGTTCTAATATTAGGACCTACAAATCTACCGCCCTTACCCTTAAATTTTTATCGCATTTTTGTAATAATTTAATTTTTCATTTTTGAGGAAAAAGTGTAGGCACGTGCCTACAGTGCCTATAGGAAGCTACGCCACTGACTTTGACGGTATAGAAGTGGATGAGAAATTGCCTTGTGTTGAAATGTTTTCCGGTTTTGATGTACCAATCGGAACGTCCTCTGCTATTATTCATATTCGAAGACTGACGGAAAGGGCCGAAAAGTTGCGACTGATACATGTAGTACTGATAAGGAGAATCGAGAGTTTAGCATTTATTTTACCTCTTGATCAAAAGGAGCCATTTTGGTTCCAGCAGCCCATGGATTTTCTACACCATCTTTATCGAGCTCTCCGAATTGCCACATGTTTGTCTGTGGTGTCACATTCAACACTTCTGTATCGTCGATTGAAATACTAAAAATTTAAAAAAAGGATGTCATCAAAACAATGAAAAAAAATTCTTCTCACAGAGTGTGTGAAATATGAATTCTTTAAAAAAAAAAGCTGGTTAAAAGACAGATTTAGCCCTGGGATTGTTATAAAGAGGCATCACACACGAATTAGTTTTCAAAAATTGCAAACTTAACGACACACTCACTATATTGACCACAACCAAAGATGACACAAAAAGAACATAGCAATGGTTTTAATAGTTAATTTAAGTAGCAAGCATCCAGATTCATGCTAATTTTCATGAAAATTTTGAAATGTATTTGAATGTGTAATATTGTGAAGTAACCAAAAGGAAGCAGTTTACACATTATCAATGGCACTAACAACCACGTAAATTACAAAAAAGGTCAGCATAAGAATAAATAGCCTTAACTACGTTAGTAACGCAGTAGGAATATAGTTGTAAACATTGAAAACATCAGTCATTTATCGCACATAATGTGTAAAATATTACTTGAATCTTAAAACTTTTACTTTTCCATACATCTAATTAGTACATTTTTTAAGTTTTATTTTATTGAAATATTTTGACTAATCTGAGGGCATGCAGCTTTAATGACATAGAAAAAACAAACGGATATAACGTGTGCAAGTAATTCTGTTCATATAGTTTATAATTGTAATACAACAAGCTTTTAAAGAACAGAATGTAATTAGATAAGATTTTAACAGTCTCTTTGAAGAAAAAACAATTCTTTTTTTACATATACCTGATATGATCCTCGTCCCAGATAAGAACGTACTTGTGGAAGGAATCTCCGTAGTTTCCTGACGATGCCAGTCTGTAAAAGTCATAAGGTAAATATTCTATTATTTAAACTAACTAACTAACTAACTAACTAACTAACTAACTAACTAACTAACTAACTAACTAACTAACTAACTAACAACTAGTAACTATCTTACTAACCAACCAACCAACCAACTAACTAATTAATACTAGTAACTAATTTACTAACTAATCAACCAACTAACCTACCAACCAACGAACTAACTACTAGTAACTAACAAATCAATCAATCAACCAACTAACTAACCAAACAAGTAACTTACTAACTTAGTAACCAAACAACCAACCAACTAACTAACTAACTTACTAACCAACCAACTAACTATCTAATACTAGTAACTAATTTACTAACAAATCAACCAACTAACCAACCAACCAACCAACCAACTAACTACTAGTAACTAACAAATCAATCAATCAACCAACTAACTAACTAACTAACCAACCAAGTAACATACTAACTTAGTAACGAAACAACCAACCAACTAACTACTAGTAAGTAACCAACCAACCAACTTACTAACTTATTAACTAACTAACTAGCAAACAAACAAACGAAAAAACAAAACACAATCAAGTCGGCAAGTCATCAAGCAAATAAAAATTGAGAAAATAAGATTATATGAACAACCAAATGCAAAGAAATGGAAATGACTTTACAAAAGCATGCGTCTATTTTCCATCTAATTTCAGTATTTTAAAAAGAAAAAATATATTATTGTATGTCCAGAGCAACCGCAAGCAACTCTAATGTTATCTATAGGGGGTCGACATATGCAAGAAGAGCTCTGATATACTCCGTAAGAAAATTAAAACTGGAAAAAATGTCACTCCTCGGAAGCATTAATTAGTCACAACAAAATAACATGAAAATTGCAGACTCTGTTTGCTTGAATCAATCTGAACATAGTAGAATATTTGAATATAAAGTAAAGCAAACCAATGCACGGAGTGTAGGTATCGATATGATATTATATATTTCTAAATCAATTATCATATGAGCCGCGTCACGACAAAACCATAATATTGCGTTTGCGAGCAGCATGGATCCAGACCAGCCTGCGCATCCGCACAGTCTGATCAGGATCCATGCTGTTCGCTTACAAACCCTTTAACAAGTTGAGAAACTGATAGCGAACAGCATGGATCCTGATCAGACTGCGCGGATGCGCAGGCTAGTCTGGATCCATGCTGGTCGCAAACGCAATATTATGTTTTTGTCTGGATCCATGCTGCTCGCAAACCCATTATGTTGGGTTTGTCGTGACGCAGCTCATATATTATTAGTTATTCAAGTTGCTGACGGGATAGGCGGGGGGGGGGGGGGGGGCATGGCCTGAATAAGAAAGATACGACGCCAGGAGAAGAGTTGCTTTTTAAAGGAGAAAACAAGGATAGATGTTTGCAAGCATTAATTTACACCCAATGTCAATAAAAATGCACAAAATTGTTTTACAAATATATGCGGCCTTGTCACTACATTATTCATGATTGTCATAAGGGTATGCATGTATTTTCACTAAAGATATATTATTTAATACAATAAATCATTACTTCTCTCCATGGGCTTTTGGCCATTTGTTGTGCCAGAAATCGGATCCAAAATGAAGTGTACTTCCAGCGTTATCAATTCCCTGCGAATGACCTTTGTCATCATGGTAAACACGGTTTCCTAGCAACAAAGAAATAACAAATTTTCCTAATAACTGTAATGAGTTAGGTAAGTAGACTTTTGTTTTATTACAACTTTTTTGATGGGAAATTGTCAAGGCTTTTAATGGGCCCACGTATTTGAGAGCCACCAAACTTTTACAGGGTACTAGTAGTTTAAACAAGTCATTGCCACGAGTATATAGAGATGTTTCAAAGCCGTGCCATCCGACTTGACCCTGTACTTTTGGCTAACTTTGTAACTAGTAACTTAAAAATTAAGTTTGATAACTCCAAAATTTATCATGGAAATTTCCAACAAAAGCCATCTCATAGCGGGGGTCACGCTCGAACTTTTCATAGTTCTAAAGTCACAACAGGAAGGATACAGTAAAGGGTACTACTACAAAACATATTTTTTTAAACAAATAAATTTCATATTTGACCTTGACAGTCGAGGTCATTCAAAGGTCAAGATCACATTTGAATTATTCACCACATCAGTTTTGTCATTAATGTTCTTTTGTCCAAGAATAAATCAAATCCATAAATTAATAACAGTTATGAAAATTGAAGCACATTGCAATAATTATAAAGCCAAATAACCTCTGGCCTCAACAATGTCGATCTCTCCAGAAGCTGGCCATCTTCCATATGCATTTCTCAACGGTAACATCCAAATAGCTGGAAAAAATGTTCAAATTTAATATGAATTGAATGAAAAATACAGTTGACTTGTAAATTAAATGAAGAAAACGAATTCCACTTTGTAAATACTTTGAAATACCGTTCTGTATTTGGATATATATTGATTTATGCTGACTAAAGCTTATTGTATCATACTTTACTACATGTACTGTACATAATTATAAATTGTATACATTGCATTTATTTATTTATTATATTTTTTCGTGTCAAGAGGTCATTTCCTGTCTCATTGAAAATGCAATGTTTACGTTGAAAAATCTGATGGGATCTTTGAACCTCAAAGATGTCTCATGTGACTTCTATTCTTACATCACTTATATATCCAAAGCATATATACAAACATGTATATCATAACTTTGCGCCGAAACGCATAATAAGTTTATTTATGTGTGACGGATTCGTGACAATTTTGGATTTTAAGCATTATCTATTAAGAAAGTACATGAAACGTCAAGAAAGAGAAATTATTTATAATTTGTTTTACCCGGCCAGATCCAATCTCCTGTAGGCATTTTGGCGCGAACTTCGACTTTGCCATATTTAAAATTAAACCCACGTGAGCTACGGAGTCGTGCTGATTGGATGGGGTTGATGATGTGATCTGGCGTACCGTCTCGTTTGCATCCCCAGAAATTGTTTGCAGTGCATACATCACCGGGCTGAGAACCTGACAGAAAATATTCATATTGAAGATTAATTTGTTTTTGTTTGGGATTTTTGTTTTGTTATGTGTCATTCTTACAACAGCTTTTCGATAACGTTGATTAGAAATAAACTGTACACACGTTTTCATAACCTCATTTTGATGTTTACTTTGTACTACGCTAGTATTTTAACCTTGAACCATTATGGAACAGAATTAATGCATTTATTCCATCTTGCTTTATGATATCGGAACTTACATTATGCTTGCTTCTATACTTCTTTATGACAATGAAAACCTGCGTTTTGCTGAATTCAATCATGCCTTTATTATTACTGAATGCACTTTCATGTAATTGCAACCTTGTGTGTTCCCTACTAAACCATCAAACTCACATATTTTAATATGCTATATGTTTAATTGCATCTTTTTTAAGGGACAACGTATTATGTTTGGTGTTCAGCATAACATTCTTTATTAACTATAAAAATGTAACATGGTAGTTGTATTCTTTAATTTTTGCTATAAATCTGCCGCCACTTATATTGTCGACATTAATGTCAAATTTAAACTATTCATTTTAGATCAATAATTGGCTGATTTGATGTTTCTTAGCATTCATATGCTTCAAATATATTCACTGATTACAAATATAATGCAATGCATGATCAGTGCGCATCGACAACGAAGATGACAACGATAGCGATATTATAGTCGCATGTGACAGTTACGCACTCAGCAGTTGGCAGTAAGCATAAATGCGAGTTGCAATAATTTGTGTTTCATATTATGAACAGCAGGTGTCGCTTTGTCGATACATCCCGTTATTTTTCCGGATGATCCCGTATTTTGGCACGTGGAGTAAACAAAGTTACGTCCACTTATTAGGGGCGTATACAGAACAGTGTTAGTTGGGGACTGACATGTTAATTTACTAAAAAAAAAGGAGAACACGATGCGACAGACGAAAAGTGCGTGTTTTTGAAGATTCCCCCAGCATGTGGAAAAAAAGTTATATATGTCTCTAATAACTCATCCTACAAGTGGCAACTCACCTCTTATACAATTGTTTACACTTCTTTTTGAGCGTGGTGTGATAAGTGAAATTGAATTTTTATCAAACTTAAGGTGGCACGAAGGTGGACGTGTGTGTTTTTATTTATCTCGTGCGCACGAGATACTGTGTCGTGGCTACGGGTTACTAAGTCGTGCCACGAGATAGTTATGTCGTGGGAACGAGATACTATGTTGTGGGCCACGAGTTACTAAAATCGTGGCCACGAGGTAATTAAGTCGTGGGAACGAGATAACTTAGTCGTGGCCACGAGTTACTAAGTCGTGGCCACGAGATAAATATGTCGTTGGAACAAGTTACTATGTCGTGGCCACGAGAAAGTTTAGTCGTGGCCAAGAAAAAGTTAAGTCGTGCGAACGAGATAAATAACCCATCAAATTACACTATTTATATGAATTTTCCTAACAAGGATGCACCTACTTCATTTGTCCGTAAAAGTGCCATTTATACAAGTTATTGATTGGTCAAAGATTTAGCGTCATTGTGACCCTGATTTCTGACCAAATTGCCTAAAAATTATTTGGTGTCATCTACTGATCTTTTTAGGTTATATAAACTACGGCTTATTCTTTCTAAATCATTCATCAGACAAGGATTTTGCATGAAGTGTCATGTTTATCTGACCTCTGACCTCAAACATCCTTATAGGATATCTACTGTCCATGAGCAATGTCCCTTCCCAATAAAATAAACCAGGACTAAGTCCCTCTCAAGTTATGGTATAAACAATGTTGTATCATAGTTTGGAGACCTTTCTTTTGAAAATGTGTCAGGGTTAAATCGTATACATATACATGCACAGTGCGTTAACTGGAGTGCGGGTATTAGTTACCCGCACTCTAGAGCATGCCCATTGATTGGCTCATTTTTGCTGGGGTTTACATATTGTGACGGCAGTGAAAGTGAAATCGACAGAAATGTCAATTTTAGATGCTCGTTCATTGGTTCATTTTTGCCGGGGTTTCATATTGTAACAACAGGGAACGTGTTTTTATGTTTGACTATGATACAAAAGAGAAAGAACACCAAAACACTCGGTAATCTGATTAATACTCGGGGGCTACGCCCCCTCGTACAAATCAGATAACCTCGTGTTTCGGTGCTCTTTCTATTACTTAACAGGCCTTTGTACGTACAAAATGACAAATTCTATCATAGAATTGTCCCAACAAAGGGCTATAACTAAAGAGATAAATAAAAACACACACATGTCACTTAGTAACTCGTGGCCACGACTTAGTAAAGTACAAACTTGATTTTGTTTTTGTAAAATAAAATAAATATAATTTGGCTTCACACAAACATTGTGCTTTAAATACTTTACACTGTAATTGGGCAGTATGAATATTCATGTATAGTGTTATTACAAAAATATATATGGAAGTTTCTTTTAAAGACAGGCACAACTTTACTTGCCCGTAATAAGGAAAGCAGATTCCTATACATTATGTGTATGTGTTTTTATTTAAATAAAACATATTTAGTAAGAATTTTATAGATTTCAATAAATTTCTGTGATAAAAATATATTACTGAAAGATGTGCATAGTATATCTTTAAGCACAAATGTATGTGAATGTGGTGGTGTGTGCGGGATGTCTGATCTATAATCAGATACACATATGCCCAACATTTGTAATTGACTATGCACATGTCACAAAAATAAACAACTTCCTTCTTTCCTTATTATACATGTATATTTTAATGTGTTACATACCTATTCGCCACTATTAGTGACTGAGACATTTATTAAGTTAAAAGGCCAATTAATAAGTTTTGCTTTTCAATGTCCAAGTCATTAGATAAAGACCTTCGCAATCGTAGGCAGGTGCTTAACAACTGGATGACAGCATTATAATTTTATGTTTTGATAAGGGAGTACACTATGACCACTATTGCATGAAACTTACACGTATATATTCCATCCCAGTTCATCAACGTATCTTTGGGGGTAGGTGCAGCCCTTAAGCCAAGGCCTGAATCCGCCACTGTACGTATAACTGCCCCATTCAGTAACTGTTTACGAGCATATTTTTTCTATTGGACTGTATACATATACATGTATAAAATTATATTGCATAATCCTTACTACTTGTATTTATATTCTTTCCACTGCAATTAATGTATTAAGCGCTTGGTACGTATTTATAGCATTGTCGCCCTCTGTATTTTAACGTATAACCACGATGGCCCTAACGGTATTCCGTAATATATACATCTACGGAAAATTCCGATGATAGGCGGATCATGGAAAAAATCCGTTGATATCGATAACAGAGTTCTCGCCCCTTAACAGTTCACAAATCGCTAGACATTGTTTAAATTGTTTATCATAATGTAAGAAGTTCAACCATAATCCACAAAGCCTCAGACACCGAGCTTTATTAATCATAAACACTGAATAATGGATATAAGCGAAAGCTAATGGTAATCACGCCATGCGAGCTGTAAATCAAATAAGTCCCATTTTAACAAAATCCACCAGGGAACAAAAAATAGTCAATTTTGAATGACTTCTACATAAAAGTAATACAAAAAAAAACTAAACCGTAAATGGTTTGTATAGAGCATGAAGAAAGGTAGCTTATACATAAAGGTATAAGACGTTAACATTTTAGTATTCCAAATGGCTTGTTCCACTTTAATAGTTATCACTCAATGAAAGAAAAGGTCACTACGAAATGTTTGAATGAAATAATGAAAAATGGAATCCAGAATAATGCAACTTTTAAATATCATAAAGCAAGATGGAATCAATCATAATGCAAGTTCTAATGTCATGTAGCAAGATGGAATTAAGCATAATGCAAGTTCCAATGTCATCAGGCAAGATGGAATCAAGCATAATGCAAGTTCCAATGTCATCAAGCAAGATGGAATTAAGCATAATGCAAGTTCCAATGTCATCAAGCAAGATAGAATAAATGCATTAATTCTGTTCCATAAACCATGGTTTCAACTTATTGCTCATAAAGGTAGTTACTGCATTTTTTATGGGGGGGGGATGATGTTGGGTGTGGAACCTCAGGTGCCCCTCCGTGTCATTATTTCAGGCACGAACGGGCACTGTGTAGAATCACCGATATTTCCGTTTGCTAGCGGGATAGCTTCCTCACATGAAAGAAGCCATAGTCCCTGGCGGGATTCGAACACACAGTCGTGAATGGCCAGAAGTTTGAAGGCAACAATCTTAACAACTCGGCTACGTTACAGACGATACTGAAGACATATCACTATCAGCTACCGCTTCTGTCATTCTTTCTTCCCTCGAAATAACTTTTTTTTTGTCTTGCAACCCAAAATGTTTATATTTTACATACCCCATATATCTAAAGATCCTTTCGTCAAACTGTCTGGACCGTCATTTATTGACTCGATGGTGAATGTCTGAAAACAGAAAAAGAACAGCGCATATACAATTTTATTTGGCTGGTTAATAGAGGAAGACCTCAGGTCGATAGGTTCTTTATTAAAAACAACGACCCTCTTTGAGGATAATGAATAGCTTCCTTATTTTGAAAATCCAGATTGTAGGATTAACCACCCCCCCCCCCCCCCCCCTTCACAGCAGTAAAGGTAATCCGAAGTCAGCGACTTTGTCAACTTAATTAACGCACAAACGGGAAGCATCTTTTAAAAAGATACTCGGTCGAAGTGTACCTGTTTAACATGCAAACGTATGTTATTTTAAAGTGTTCAATACAAAAAGTAAATATGGTAGCAATCTGATAATTATTTCTTGTAGCTTTTAAGAAAATATCTATTTTGTAAACATTGAAATTAAATTATAGCATATCGATAGTGATGATTTTTCTTCTATTTAAGGTGTCCTTTTTACTTGTTAAAAATCTGTTTGACTATATATTTTGTAATCATTCACAACCGTATATATACCGTTTTTCCGATATGTCAAATTCCAAATCGTAATACAAGCAACGGGTGAAGCTAAGTGCTCTCCCCCATTATTTCTTGAAGTGTATTTTTTTTGGTCTGAGGTTTTCACATAACCAATGAAAATACTTCATACAAAAATTAAGGGAAGATTTTTTACTCTGCTGATTCCGAACTTTCATTTTGGATTGAGAAGTGACAAATCAGAACAAAGTAGGTTCGTTATTGTTTTATATGATGTTTTGGTTAAACAGTTATTGCAAATAATAATATAATTTTATTATATTTATATAAGCAATATAAACAATCCATTCGTTTCGAATAAACCGCCATTTAGCCGGGTAATTTTCAATTTTCAAAACCCTGTCGACATAGACTTGCGGTGACATCGTGATGACCTATCTTCTTATAACTTGAAATGACTGTAATGACAGCTTTATTTTCACTTTCCTACCATTTGTAAATTGGTGAAAAAATGTTGGAGTTAAGGAGCTCATATTAAGATGAGTGCTGAAAAATGAGCGGCGAGTTGTATACCTTTATTAAGTATACATGTATTGTTTTTTATTGTTTTTTTTTTGTTGTTGTGAAAAATAACGGAATTTGAATTAAAAACATGTATCAAATATCAAAATACACCTGTGGTCCGAATATCTTGTTTAAGTTCATTCTTACCGGTTTAATGAACAATTTCCCATCCTTTACATAGCTGTTGGTACGATTGTTTGTATAATACTGAAATTCCCAGTTCTGAAATATATAAGAACGTGTTTTATAAATTAGAAAACATGCAAGTACAGATATAAGATGATTGCCTTACAATTGCTGACCATTTTGGACGGGGGAAAATATAGTGTTTGATAAAATGTAAGAAATAAAATCATCATTTTTGTTGATTAACTGTTGCATGCTTCATTATCTAAAATTGTGTGTTTGTGAAACTTTGTGTGGGTCACTTATACATATCAGCTTGTATTCTGGAATTGCTGAACTGGCAACTCATTAGGAACTTAAAACAAACTGATCAAACCATGCAAATCACCAAAGAAAACAGTTCTCTACAAATTATTTTAACATTGCAGTTACTAAAAAGAAATATTACTCCGCCTCCTCCCGCTGTAATTTCGTGCTCCCAAACATCCAAGTTTAGGAAATCAAAATTATCTTCGAATATCATACATGGAAAAGTCGTGCAGGATAATTCTGATCCTGGTGGGCGTATTGATTTGCCTTGGCAACCGCATGATCCACCTGAAGTAGATTGACTCGAGGTTCCGGATACAACATTCTGGGTATTCTGGGTATTTTGTGTACCGGAAGTCCCTGACTGGGTACCGGAAGTTACTGTTCCTGAACCTGTGTTTGTAGTTCCAGAACCATTCAAACTGTTGTAATACGCCTGCATGTTGCTAAAGATAGATTTTGTAGTTTTAGCAGGCGTCTGTGTTTGGGCATGCGTTGTTGGTCTTCTTGTCGTTGTGGTTGTTGTAGTCGGGTTTGTTGGATCTTTAAAAAAAAGGAAATTAATAATTATGAAATGCTGTTAGTCTTAAAAGTGTATTTGATTGTTGTTACACGAAAAAAACTTTTGATTTTCAAATTTCTAGAATATCGACGGAGATAAATTTCTTTATAATATCGTGACAGGTCAGTACAAAAAAGATTGATTTACAAACTATAAATATGCGTGTATTATTTTTCAGTTCGCATATTCAGTTCAATTACTAAACAAAATAAAAGAAAAGTACATGAACATGTTTTTTCACTAATAATTCTAAAGGAATTTTCTTTTTAAACGCTGGTGGGAACTCACTTGACGCCGTCCATGACTGGCCTTTGACCACGTGACCTTCACCATTTTGTATGACGTTGTACCAATAGTTAACTGTATCCCCAGGGTTCACAACCACATTCGAATTTTCATGTACCCATTCGTTACCTGCAATACATAAAACCACTTGGTGCAATTGGAATTTAAATACTTTAGTTACTCATTTTCATTTTGAAAAAAACTCATGTGAGCAATGTGATAACACTGCATGTTTGTAACGTCCATTTTCATTGGATAGCTGTTCAATACACACAAACCCGCTGCATATTAATGTTGCAGGCGATGGACCGTCTTTGTTTCGTCTAATACAAAATGTTTAGCATTGATAGCACAAATATAGAGGATATTGAATGAGTGTATAGATTTAATACTAAATTTATTGAACGAATTGAATAAAATTATAGTATACGGGCCTCTGGCATAAGACAATGTCCTATTAACGACCACTAATTGTAAGACCAAGTCCTATTAACACACTATGATTGTAAGACAATGAAATGTCCTATTAATGAACTCTAATTGTAAGACAATGTCCAATAAACGCCCAATATCATATTAATGACCTCAAATTGTAAGATCTTGTCCTATTAACAAACTATAATTGAAAGACGATGTCCTATTAACGCCCTGTAATTGTAAGGCAATATCCTATTAATGAACTCTCATTGTAAGACCATGTCCTATTTTCTCACCATAATTGTAATACAATGAGCTATTAATGAACTGTAATTGTAAGACAATATCCTATTAATGAACCTTAATTGTAAGACAATATCCTATTAATGAACCTTAATTGTAAGACAATATCCTATTAATGAACTGTAATTGTAAGGCAATATCCTATTAATGAACTCTTATTGTAAGACAATATCCTATTAATGAACCTTAATTGTAAGGCAATATCTTAGTACCGAACTTAAATTGTAAGACAATGTCCTATTGACGCACTAAAATTGTAAGTCAATGTCCTATTATCTAAGTGCTTTTTTACACTTTCAATGATTAAAACGTGATATTGCTTTATCCGTGATATTGTTTACTTTTTGATACTTTATTGCACATATTAAGTTATGTAAATGACCAATGGCCGCATTCGTAAAATTACCAGTTTTTGTGTTGACGTCAACTCCTACCTGCCCAGCAGATAAGTCCGGCAGTGGTGAATTGATGCTATAGTGGTATGACACCAGGGAAACGCCATTTACATCTGAAATATATACATACATACATACAAAAAGATAGTATTACTCGTTATAAAAAGTCTCTGCTTTTCGGGGTTTTTTTTGTTTTGTTTCTTTTCGTTTTATTCAGTTAACTGAAATTATCGCATTATCATGACAAATTTGTAATAATAATCTTATTCCAGTCTTGCGGCATACTAAATGAAACATATGCACACAAAATAACTAATGTACGGTTAATAAAAAATCTTGCTAAGGCATTCTATATGACAAAATGTAAATTGTAATACCAATGTACTAAATTACAAATGCTTGGTGCATGTACATATTGAAGAACCCGTTAAGTTCCCGTCATTTGTAACTCTGGCCGCTGGCCTTCATTCCCGGAGACATGCGAGGAATTGCATAGGAAGGTGTTTCGGATTCCAGGCGGCGGGGATTTTACTGATCACAACAAAAAGCAAAGTTGTTAACAAATCTTTGCTTGTCACAAAGTCAAGTTCCTGGCTTAAGAATGATGGCTTTGGCTGAGTGGTTAACACTTTGGACTAGTAATGAAAGACCTCGTCAGGGACAAGCATTTGTGTCCGTGAACAAGAAATTTTACATTTATTGCTTAGTAGTGGTCAGTTCCATGAACAGAATTCGAGCGTGTTTCAATAAGCTTATCGCCTGGTTTGGATTTTTTCATTGTTCTTTCTAACCTTTTATATTCAGTACACTTAAAATGAGGATTTGAAAAATGTATTGATATTTAACAGTGCTGTTATTTTTCTTTCTCCTTGATTCATATAGGAATATCATCTCAACTGCTATATACAGTTGAAGGGTACGTCAACTAAAAGAGTTATTACCACTGAAAAAAGTAATACCAATATACAAGTCCGAAAACTGAAAAGGGTGCATCAACTGATAAAAATATTACCACTGAAAAAGGGTAATACATTACCTACGTCCTAAAATAGGAGATTTAAAAAAATGCGACATCAAACACAACTGAACAATGCGCATGCACTTGACTGACATATTATATATAGCTGTATGGTTGCTAACGACAGCATAAGTTGGAATTTCATTTTTTTTCTAGGGTTTTCATTTTGTAACAATTAAGGCAGGGTACTAGAGAGAAGAAAGCACCGAAGACAGCAATTCTTTTCCTGATTCCTGAATAATGAAATTGCGATAAAACAGTTATAATATATGACACTCGTTAGTAACGGGGATATAATACTTGCTCGGGCGACATCTTGGGTTGTTTCTGATAAAAAAAAAGATCGTCTTGACCTTTTGGCCTCGATATTTTTTATAACAGAGGGGCATTTGTCCACTGTTGTCGAACAGAATATGTAGGACAGAAACCCTCGACGTTGTTTTAAAAAATGACCAAAAGTCCCTCAATGAAAATCGAAACATGACTTAAATACGCTCGTAACTAACTCGTTTCTATGATACTATAAATTTGAGCCGCGTCACGACAAAACCAACATAGTGCGTTTGCGACCAGCATGGGTCCAGACCAGCCTGCGCATCAGAGGGGATGCGCAGGCTGGTCTGGATCCGTGCTGGTCGCAGACCCATTATGTTGGTTTTGTCGTGACGCGGCTCATTTTACTTATCTATTGATATTAACTATTAATATACATTACCTGGAAATGAAAATCTGATCCCTTGTGGTTTTAACATGCTCAATTTAACCGCTGGAAGTGACCTACTTGCTAGCATAAAACATTCCATTAGGTTCACTTGGCAGCATAGCAACGCCAGTAAAAGACATCGGTACGAAACCGCCATTTTAGTTATACTGTAAAATGAGCGAGGGTCAAGAACATAAATATCTCTTGTTCAGGCGAGTATTCGATTTATTTATCTATTTTTAATTTTCATTTTTATCATTTTTTATTATTATTACCGGTATTTGATTTTTTTAATTTGATTTTTTTATTTACTATATCATTTTTTTTAATTTTTTTTTTTTATATATATTTTTTTAAAAAGTCTCCTTCCTTCATATCTTAGTGTATAACAGACTATAAAATTTATTAAATAACATATATCATCCCAAATATCCTTGTAAAACATTTTTTTAAAAAAACGGACTCTTCCATGATTATTACAGCAAATATCTAATTACCTTGCCGGCTGATGTATTACCACCAATCCGCGATCAATTCCAACAACAAATCGTCACAGTTTAGACTGCTTGCCCTAAACTGATCAAACTTTTATACTTATGAAACTATATATACCTAGCAACCTGAAAATTTGCAAACGCTTAAATAAATACTAAATGATTATCAATATACAACGCAATTATGTACAAACAAAACAAATAATCAAATAAAGTTTTTGCTGTATTCTTTCATTTTACTTAAGCGTGATTTCCTAATACATGTTCAATTTTAGTATTACCGTGTGCTTATATTATGAACATGTCTTAAGTGAGTGGACAGAGGGAATGTGTGTCAAATTTTAGACGATTTGTGACTGGGTCTACATGTTTTCGTGATCTGTACAACCATTCGGCTCTGAAATGCTGATATTCTAATTATATTTGTCAATTCAAATACTTCTGAGATTATGTTCATCTTTGCTGTTTGATGCTTATGGTCGTATCGAAAATTACTGTTACGGAAAGTGGCGAAATATACCGGAATTGTCCGAACTTATTGATTCGTCTACCCCGATCAGGGGAACCTCTGTGGCAATTTCTAATAATTATTTGGACACTTCGCCAATAACGAATAATTATAAAGAGCACTTCGCCGTTTTGGGAAATAATACAAACGGGAAGAAGTTTTTACCACGTGATTTTTGGTATGGGTTTAATTTTTGCATTATAAGTAAGAATACATCAATTGTCATCTGAAGTGTACATGGTCTTTTGGTAAAATATTATTGAAAAATGTATTCAATTTTAGTATACCCCTAGACATACATTCCATCGTTAACTGGCATGCTATTTGTACAAAAAGTAATAATTTGCAAAAAAAAAAAATAATAATGATGTTTACTTTATCATTTTCTGCAAGCCGAAGTATTTACTTGCTTTACGTAAGTTAATATTTTGTAGGGTATAAACTAAACTACCGTTTCCGTTATGTTCGTGTCACTATCTGAAGTTTGACGGAAAGGGCCGAGAAATATACAAAAAATCGCCAAACTTATGATGGCCTTGACAACTATCACGGATGTCCTTTTGACACTTACAAAAGATAAGTATATCATGTCTAAAAAGTATCACGTGATTACACAGTTGTGTTTCTAAAGTACTGTAGAATGTTTGACAATGTATCGACATGTTTGAAATAGAGGTTACATGTCAAAGTATAAAATGTGTTATTACCAAGGGGCATTTGTCCGCTGTTGTCGAGCAGACAGAAACCTTGTACTTTTTTTTTTAAATGACCAAAAGTAGATGCTCTGTCTCAATGAAAATTGAAACATGATCAAAATACCATCGACGACTTGACAAAAATGCATTTCAGAATAAGAAGGCATAATGTTTTAAAATGAAGAACAAAATATTAAAGAAAAAAATTCTTTAGAGGAGTTGTTTTTTTTTTTTCATAAAAGCGTCCAACGATTTTCAGTTTTAGGTAATTTTGAACAATATAAAATAAAATTCTGGATAAATGGAGCGATCTTTTTCGCATACAATTGTCCACTCTTACATCAGATGGTGCAAAAGACTCGGAAAAAATATTTCGAGTTCTCTCATATATAAAAAAAATCTTCCCTTTAATATATTAGTAAATAGGTGACTTGAACAGTTGTTTTTTTTTTTACTCAACTTGGTTTAAAAATCGCACTTAATATAGATTTTTATTTTCTAATCTAATACAAAGTATATTTCTTTTTCTTTTTTTTTTATATTTTTCCGTTTTAAAGCACCACCCCTCCAGATTCATGCTAATTATCATACAACGGCACTTACAACCCATGTAAAGTACAAAAACGTCGAAATATGCAAAATAGCCCTTTCCGCGTTAGTCACGGAGTAGTGATGTAGTGAAAAATACTACAAACTCTGTCATACACTACATAAATGGCACACAACATGGAATATATTACTTCTGTATTGACCCTGTTTACTTTCCTTAAAATCTCGGTTACTTTTCGCAAGTTTTCTTGAAATTTATTGGCTCATCTGGAGGCATAAGGCTTTAAGTCTCCCCCCTCCCAGTTAATTTTCAAATTGTGTTTCATAAGTTAGTGGAGCACCTTTCATTCAAGTGCATATGTCCTTTATAATGTATGTACTTACATTATACATTTATATATAGAAGCATACCATCAATAAGATAAACTCGGTCAGTTTGCTAAGCACAAAGAATATTTTATGCGTTACCGTATGCCAGTTACAAGATATACGTACATGTGTTAGGTTTATTTAATTTCATGCGTTTGATGAATGATTTGTAAAAAATATATAGCTTGACGTTCGTCGTGTGTTTTTGAGGCTTGTTTAGAATTTGAATGGTCTGTTATTAAAAATGAATATGCTGATAAAAGTTTTAGCAAAATAGAAAAATAAATAAATAAATAAAAATAATTAAATAAATAAATAAATAAAAAATAGATAAAAAAATAAATAAGGTTATGTTAGGTTAGAGGTCAGATAGGATATGTAGGTAGGTAAATTGATTAATTAAATTTATTTATTTATTTACGAATGCAAAAACCTATCGATGGCACTAATTTGGATTTAATAACGACTATGTGAAATTTTATATATTCTCAAACATGCCAATTAGAGTCTGAAATCCTTAATAAGCGCTCTTCTCTTTTAGGAAAAAGACGTCAAGTTCATGGACTACTTCTGGACCTTTGCTTGTTGTCAAAGTGCCAACCTGCATCAAATTCCATATACACTGATAGACTGATCAGTCCAACCTTGAGCGTTGTTTGTTTGCGATAATATATAATGCATGTTTTGTTATATCACAGTGGACTGTCTGGACACCTAACTGGTTTTCGTTGATAACTAATTACATGTATATTAATTACTAGTTTTTTTCCCGCAAATGACCGACTAACGTAAAAGAACCGTAACTCGTCAGAGTCCGTAATTTGTCATTTTGTTGTCTCCCTTTCGATCACGTGAGCCAAAAGTTTTCGAGCGGGCATTTTTTGAAAGGTTAACAGTTTATTTATATTTATATGGTTTGTATGTTATATCCATTAAGTACACAACATCCTCGCATATGACAATAAAAATTCATCCCAAAAAACAAGTTTTTCTCCTACTTTGTCGACGACAACACTCAAATTCAGGGGTCTGTGGCGAAGTGGTATTCTGTACCATGCAGACGATTGATTATCAAAGTAAACAAGTGTTGATGTTCTGAAATATTATATTTTAATTTGCCATTTTGTAGTATATGTTTTTACATATTATTTGCCATTTTGTGTTATTTTGTATGTATGTACTGTTTTATGTTGTCACCCGCCCATATGGGCCCTGACTTATTCAAATAAACCTAAACCTTAACCTTTTAGCAGTGAGCTCCTTTTGATTAAAAAAATGCTCTTATGCGTAGCTTTTGACATAGAGAGTCATTGACGACTCCGGGACCCTATTGACGAGTTACCGTTACCACAATTTCTATACTTTTTTTTAATTTATTCTTCACAGTAACCTAATTAACAGTAACTATGATATAAATGAAAAGGCACTATAAAGCTACATTTCTTTGTTGTTATATGTCTATATTATCATAGGCTTTAACAAACCAACATTAAATTTGACAATTCCAACGTTAAGTCTGAATCTATTTATTGGTGCATTGGTAACACACATCCTATGACAGCAACACCTACAAGGTTTCCCAGTGGTAGCAAAGATGTAGCATTTGATTTCAACAGTGTGCTCTCTACATGCTCTAGTCCTACAGACATCCACGGTTTTATGTTTGATGACATCCCCTTTGTAGTAGGTGAAGACGGGTAAACGATACTTGCTAGTGTAGACTGATGCCTCAACCAGTCATCAATGATGGTGAGATAGCTGATTTAATAGTACAGAACCCCCCCCCCCCCGAACTGGCTTTGGCAGCTATAATGGAGATGACACTTGCGCAAAGAAAAAGAGGTGTTACCATGAATGTTCGAACTTTAATATTGACTTGCCAGATGACAGAACGTATCAAACGTGGAACGTCTTGAAGGAAAAGGTTGTTGCCCTTGAACCAATTGATCAAGAAAATGAAATAGGCCTACTTTTCGCTAGGAAACAAGAAAGAGTTTTCTCTGAAAGGACAAGTCATATATACAGCAGAAATCGCCCCCAAGAGACGATTAAATTGAACCCACTTGTGACAGCTTTGCTAATTTCAGAAGATCTTCCAAATGTCTTGGTCACGCCAACATTTGATGCTAAGTGCAAAACTGCCCCCGGTAGTAAAGTGGAAAAGAAAGCGCGGGTTCTAACGACCAATGAAATCGAAGAAGAACTGACTGAAAAAGATAGCATAAACAGGTAAAGGAAGAAAAGTCCAGAAATAACAAGCTTAAAAGGATAGAAGGGAAGGTATCATTATAGGCGAAAATGATGAGATGCAGTACGTAAGAAGCAAGAAATAAGGCTGAAAATAAAACAGGAAAAAGAGAAAATCAAGCAAGAGAAAGAAATTGTCAAGAAAGCAAAACGAGTTAAGCGAAAGTTGTCTGAATCAGAATGTAACATAAATGACACAGAGACATCACCTGAGTCTGATGATATAAATATTGCAGCATGTGCCACTGCCATAAGTGGTATAGAAAAGCAGAGGCAGGAACTGAGGAAAGAAGGTGCTCAGATAACGGAATTTACATTAAGTAGAAACATAGAAAATGTAAATTTAAACTGGAACATTCAGGACTGATACTACCGACTACCACATGATTTCTGAATGACATAAAATGACCATATATAAGACTCACTGTCCGAGATTAAATTTCACGGAGAAATTTCGCCTAGCCCGAAGATCCAACCAGCGAGCCCTGAATGCCATGTCCGATGGTTTCCATATTTAGGTAAACAAGACCTTAATTAAACAAGTAAAACCTTTTTAAGTATTTTCAGTATATTTTGTTTTCTTTTGCATGAATGTTTTTTTTCCTCATTTTTCTATGATAGCCGATATCACGGACCTTAATTGTCAATGAAGGTCCGTGCTTATATGAATCCCTTAATAATGGCTTGCATGAAAACCTTGTCCTCTTTTATATTGGCTTGCAAGAAAAAACTTGTTCTTTTTTTAAATAATGACTGAAAAACTTGTTCTTTTCCTATGCTAAGCTATGTAAAGGCCAAAATGATATACATGTATTGTACTTATTCTTTCTATAATAACGGCTGTTGACCAAGTTAATACTGGCAAATCAGAATTTATAATTTCCACAGAAGACCGATTAAATAATGGCCAATGTACCTAGTTTCTTTTTCTATGATTATCAATGTAGACCTTTTAAATACCTGTATCTTGATAAATTACCTCTATGGGCCCATTAAATAATTGCCAATATGAAAAACTTGTACTGGTGCTATAATAATGACTGCTTAGGGGCCATTATGAAATAATTGTTTCTTACTTTTTTGGTTTTTCATGTTGCACTTACACGGTAAATGTCATATGGCGACTTACAAGCTTTAGTGCTGGAGGACAACCTCAGGTGCCACTCCGTGCAATATTTCAGGCACGAACAGGTACTTGACTAGAATCACCAACACTTCGTAAGCTAGTTGGAAAGTCTCCTCCCTTGAACTGGCGGGATTCAAACCCACAAGCGTGAGGAACTGTAGTTTGAAGTCAACAACTGTAACCACTCAGCCAAGGAGGCCCCGATTTTTTCCTACTGTATAATAAAACAAGAGGGCCATGATGGCCCTGAGGTCGCTCACCTGTATATAGCACCCCCCCCCCCCCACCACCATAAGAAGATGTTTCATGCTAAACATCTTAGCTCTAGCTCATTGGGCTTTTTAAAAGAAATTTTTTTTAAGTTTTTACTATACACATAAAGTTAAAAACAATGACACCCCTGGGGCGGGGCCAGTTTTGACCCCAGGGCTTTTATTTGAACAAACTTTGTAGACACTTACTAGAAGATGTTTCATGCTTAAAGATCTAAACACTAGCTATTTGAGTTTTTTCAAAGAAAATTTTAAGTTTTTGCTATACACATATAAGGAAAATCAATGAACGACGGGACGGGGCCAATTTTGACCCCAGGGCTTGTATTTGAACAAACTTTGTAGACACTCACTAGAAGATGTTTCATGCTTAATATCTAAACTCTAGCTATTTGGGTTTTTTCAAAGAAGATTTTAAGTTTTTGCTATACACATATAACGAAAATCAATGACCCCCTGGGCAGGGCCAATTTTGACCCCAGGGCTTTTATTTGAACAAAGTTGGTAGACACCTATTAGAACATGATTGATGCTAGATATCTTAGCTCTAGCTCTTTGAGTTCTTTAAAAGAAGATTTTTTAAGTTTTTACTATATGCATATAGGGACAATCAATGACCCCCTGGTGTGGGGCTAATTTTGACCCCAGGGCTTTTATTTGAACAAACTTGGTAGACACCCATAAGAAGATGTTTCATGCTAAACATCTAAGCTCTAGCTCATTGGGCTTTTTAAAAGAAGATTTTTTTAAGTTTTTGCTATACACATATAGTTAAAAACAATGACACCCCTGGGGCGGGGCCAGTTTTGACCCCATGGCTTTTATTTGAACAAACTTTGTAGACACTTACTAGAAGATGTTTCATGCTTAATATCTAAACTCTAGCTATTTGGGCTTTTTCAAAGAAGAGTTTAAGTTTTTTGCTATACACATATAAGGAAAATCAATGACCCCCGGGGCGGGGTCAATTTTGACCCCAGGGCTTTTATTTGAACATACTTGGTAGACACCCATTAGAACATGTTTCATGCTAAATATCTTAGCTCTAGCTCTTTGAGTTCGTTAAAAGAAGATTTTTTAAGTTTTTACTATATGCATATAGGGAAAATCAATGACCCCCTTGGGCGGGGCCAATTTTGACCCCAGGGCTTTTATTTGAACAAACTTGGTAGACACTCATTAGAAGATGTTTCATGCTAAATATCTTAGCTCTAGCTCTTTGGGTTCTTTAAAAGAAGATTTTTTAAGTTTTTACTATATGCATATAGGGAAAATCTATGACCCCCTGGGGCGGGGTCAATTTTGACCCCAGGGCTTTTATTTGAACAAACTTGGTAGACATTCACTAGAAGATGTTTCATGCCAAATATCTAAGCTCTAGCTCTTATGGTTCTTTAAAAGAAGATTTTTTAAGATTTTAGTATATGCATATAGGGAAAATCAATGACCCCCCGGGGTGGGGCCAATTTTGACCACAGGGCTTTAATTTGAACAAACTTGGTAGACACTCACTAGAAGATGTTTCATGCTTAATATCTTAGCTCTAGCTCTTTGGGTTCTTTAAAAGAAGATTTTTTAAGTTTTTACTATATGCATATAGGGAAAATCAATGACCCCCTGGGGCGGGGCCAATTTTGACCCCAGGGCTTTTATTTGAACAAACTTGGTAGACATTCACTAGAAGATGTTTCATGCTTAATATCTAAGCTCTAGCTCTTACGGTTCTTTAAAAGAAGATTTTTAAGTTTTTACTATATGCATATAGGGAAAATCAATGACCCCCCGGACGGGGCCAATTTTGACCCCAGGGCTTTTATTTGAACAAACTTGGTAGACACTCACTAGAAGATGTTTCATGCCAAATATCTTAGCTCTAGCTCTTTGGGTTCTTTAAAAGAAGATTTTTTAAGTTTTTACTATATGCATATAGGGAAAATCAATGACCCCCTGGGGCGGGGCCATTTTTGACCCCAGGGCTTTTATTTGAACAAACTTGGTAGACACTCACTAGAAGATGTTTCATGCCAAATATCTAAGCTCTAGCTCTTAGGGTTGTTTAAAAGAAGATATTTAAAGATTTTTCTTTTGGTTGCCATGGCAACCAGAGTTCTGCATGGAATTAAATTCTTTGAACAATTTTTAAAGGTGACCACCAAAGGAACATTCCTGTGAAGTTTGGATGAAATTGGCTCAGTGGTTTATGAGGAGATGTCATTTAAAGCAAAAGTTTACGGACGGACGACGGACGGACGGACGCCGGACGAAAAGCGATCACAAAAGCTCACCCTGTCACTTTGTGACAGGTGAGCTAAAAAGTCATGGTATAAATAATCATTTACACACTTAAATTCACATAAACAACAAACATCATTTTTTATGTCAAATATTTATTTGTACGCATCTATAAATAATATATTAAAGAAATAAACAACAAAAGGCGATTTTGTTTTAGAGGTGATTGACTTATCACATAGTGTAAGAAATATAAAAAAAAACAATTTAGAAAACAAAGTGTAGAAAAAATATATTTAAGCACAACATCATTCCGTTTACAAAATGAAACCTCATGACAAAAGAACAAGAAAAAAAAATGTTAACAATAATTTGAAAACATTACAAAACATATTAATCTGTATCCCAAACATTTTGTTAGTAGAAAGCTTGTCTGCACTGTACCCTCAAGCCATTAAACCTTAAGATTGCCACCTCACAGCCCGCACATAATTAGTCCAATCAAGGGTCACCACTGACCTTGTCTTAAAGGAACTCCACTGCGGTTTAAATCCCTATAACACTATGATATGCAAATGATAATGTAGAAATATACTCCTAAATAAATTGAAAAACGTATTTTTTGTGTTAATTCTTAACTGGATTTGTGCCATTTTCTCACCCTACTGTAAACCATTGCACACTTTATGAAGAATTTTGCTGTTGTTTTTTTTTGTTTGTTTTTCTTCATACAGACAGGTACGTATATTAACGGTATCCGCAACTCTATACAGTAAATCAATAACGGTAAATTATGCTGTCGTGGCAGATAATCCATCCAGACTGCCGATCGTTAATATACGTACCTGATACAGACAATACGAAATTGTAACATCTATTTCAAAATACATGTTAACACCAGATTTTCACTTTATACATAAATATATGTGTTATATATGAACATAAAAATCAAATATTTTTTTTATAAAAAATATCCAACAATACTACACAAATATACACAGGTTGTGTCCCTTGCAACATAGCATTATATTTATGTCAATATATTTTGTCCATGATTTACATATATATTACACTTATGTCTTAACAGATTTGAAAATTTTTCTAACACTGATAAGGAAAGCAGCAGTATCATTATTAGGCGTAATGAAATAAAATAGAATTTAGCAGTAACCTTAAAAAAAAGGTAATATAGAAAAAAATGAAATATATTCATTTCATATATATTCTATCTACAATTATAAAATATGAATGAAAAATCCGTAACGAATGCATTCAAATGTGAAAATTTGTCATATGACTTGTTAACAATAAGAAGAAAAAAAAAATAAAAAAACAAAAACATCTTGTGATAAATCAACATACTAACATGTTCAAAACAAATCAATGCTTTATAGTTGAAAATAAACAATACATAACTATCACAGAAAAATAGGTCAAAGTTCATATGTTACAACACACAATGAGGCATTTCAGGTATGGATTTGATTTTATGCAACAAAATATTTTATCTTTCAAGTGATACATGGACCTAAGCCAGGCAATAAAATGTCTTTATCAACATAAATATATATTAAAGTTCGAGTAAACAAAAACAGAATACATATTTAAACAAATATTTGGGCCTATGTATGTATTTTGTACAAACAATACATTTATATAATGGTTTTATACTTGTTGAGTAATTGTTCATTTATGATGTATACATGTACATTATATCTGCAGTAACTACATACCCAACCCCCTACCACAATATGTAAAACACAAAATCAAGGTTTACAGTGCAATCTTCACAAAATTTTATCAAGAATCTTGTTTTTGTTTTAGACCGTTTGATATTCGGTGGCGTAACATGGCGTTTTTTTGTGTCTAATCATCATCCTCATCATCGTCATTTCTTCGTGCACGTTTTGAAGGGACCATATGTCCACCTCCAATTCCCCCAATTAGTCCTTGGGCCGTGTTAAACAAATTGACCGGTGTGGTGCCGTCGGTGATCACAGTTGATTTCATACCAAGAGCCTGGAGCATGCGGACCTGAAGATCCGGACCAGCCGTGGCAATGGCCTGAAGGGTGCTCGAACCAATAGCGTCCACCATTTGCTTGAACTTAACTGTCTCGATCTCGGCAGTCTCTCTGGATTTGGCCAATTCCATTTCATTCTGTTCCTTTACAAACTTAAGCTCCGCCTCTCTGGCACTGGTCAACCTCTCAAGTTCAGACTCCGCCTCAATCTTCATGGCTTGTGCCTATATAATGAAAACCATGAGCATTAATTATGTAAAACATTAACCATATAATTTATAGCAGTCCAGATTTGCTTAAGAAACAAGAGCTGTCGGTAGGACAGCACGCTCGACTATTCTAATTGCTTGATAGTAAAAGAGCCTTGATAATGTTAAATTTTTTAAGTTCACAAAAGGGCTAATTTTTTTTTATAAATTCATGTTATAGGTCTTAGAGAGAGTCTAATTATACAGTATTGGCTTGACTATTTGGAAGGTAATGTCACAAGGGTGCTTTATTGAGTATAATAATACTAATTACCTATGAATACATAAAATTGACAGAAAAGGTACAAAGGCTTGTTATTAAGCTGTTTTATCAAGTAAATCACTGCTTTATTATTACGAATGCATAAAATTGTCCCAAAAAAGGCACAAACCCTTCAGTAGTTATGGAGATAACAGCTTACAAGCAAAACTTTACCATGAATTTTTAAAGTTGAAAAAAGGAAGAAAAATCAGCCTAAATGCAAGATAGAATTATGGATCTTTGTCAGTGACCTACAATTCTGACCCTAAATGCATATGTGAAGTTTTAAATAAATATCTTTAATAGTTATTGAGATATGTAAAGCTTGCATGTAAACATTATCCAAGAGACTAAGTAGAAAAGGGGATATGAATCAGCCTTAATGCAAGATAGAGTTATGGAACTTGGTCAGTGACATACAATTATGACCCTCATATTATAACCCAAAGTACATGTGTAAAGTTTCAAGTAAATATCTTTGAAGATCTTTAACCTTTAACCAAAATCTCTAAGTTTCAAAGGGGCAAATAATTCTGCAAATATTGCAGACAGAGATATGCAATTTAGCAAAATGATGTACATTGTTACTATAAAAAAGTATTGTAAATTTCAAATGAATATCTCAAGCAATAGTTGAGATATTTGACTTTACAAAAAAACTTTAACCAAAATTTCTAAGTTTCAAAGGGGCATATTTCTGTCAATATTGTACGCAGAGTTATCCAACTTGTCAATCTGATGTACCTTGTTACTATAAATAAGTATTGTAAGTTTCAATTGAATATCTCAAACAATAATTGAGATATTTGTCTTTATAAAAAACTTTAACCAAAATTTCTAAGTTAAAAAGGGGCATAATTCTGGCAATATTGTAGATAGAGTTATCCAACTTGTCAATCTGATGTACCTTGTTACTATAAATAAGTATTGTAAGTTTCAATTGAATATCTCAAGCAATATTTAAGATATTTGACTTTACAAAAAACTTTAACCAACGCAGACGCCGACGCGGACGCTGACGCCGACGCCGGGGCGACTACAATAGCTCTCATTTTCTTCGAATAGTCGAGCTAAAAACGTTTTCTAGTTCAGCTCATGTGAAAAAAACTCAGTGGTCTCCCTTTAATTGCATGAAAAATATCATATTTTAAAGCTGTAAGTGAAAATAATGTTTACGGTTCCCTTAGCCTGGAACCAAAGGTAATCAACCTTTGCCACAAGAATAAGGCCAGGCCAGTCAATAAATTTATGCACCATTTGTCAGGCTCTAAAGTATTGGTTGCTCATTTTTTTGTGCTTTAAATGACATCCCTTTAATTTTAATGGGGTGTTCCAAATAAATGCTTGACAAACCAAAATACATAAATTCAGTGGGTTAAGGTTAAGTAAGGACGTTAAGGTAAAGTAAGGACTATCAGAGTAACTGACACTAAATCTTTGTACATGTTGAATAAAATCATATTATGCAAGCCTCAGACAAGCATAACATTGTTTTATATAATGAGTTCAACAAATCTAGCATTGAATCTACACAAATATAATATACTATTTATCAAATATCCAAACTAAAAATGGTTTACTTATAAATAGAGTACTTTTTTATTCGATGCGCTTTAACGTCTTATTTAAATATATTGCAAATGACATCACATTGAAGTATTATTACACTGAAATATCGTTTTTATTTTATGACCTTATTACACTCCTTCACCTAGGTTTTTGTGATAAATATCCGTTACCTTATGTAAGTAACACATTTAGTAACATACCTTCAATTTGGCTTGTTCAACAGCAGCCTCGCCCTCAATTCTTGAAGCCTCGGCCCTGGACTGTGCCTCGGCCTTAGCTTGACCAGTGGACTCTACAGCTGCGCTGTTAGCCTGTAGCTCCAGCAGGTCCTTGCGGGCCTTTTCTGCTTCTGCCTCATCGCTGATTTTCTGACGTTCAAGACGACCCTTGGCCTCTTGTTCTAATCGTTCAGCTTCATGTCTGTGAAAATAAAAAGAAATTGTCATTCTTCAAATATCTGCTAAACTGTTTTTTCAACAGAAAACTTCAATGTACATGTACAAAATGTATACACTTAAAAGTGAACTTTTATTTGATGTTTTTGGTTTTGTTAGGTTTTACGTTGCACCAATACAGTATAGGTCATATGTTGATTTTCCAGCTAACCGAGGCAGACCTCAAGAGCCCCTCTGTCGATATTTCAGGAACAAATGGGCACCGGAGTAAAACCACCAAAACTACAAGGATAGCTTTAAAATACATCTAAAATGACAAAAATATGATAATTTTTTATAACAAAACTGTAGAAATGTTACTTCTAAATAATACTTCAGCACATTAGAGTTAAAGATTTCGAGCCTGTAAAATAACAAGACATGACATTACCTGGCTGCAGCTTCCTGGGAGTTGGTGGTGATTTCAATGGCCAGTTGGACAGATTTCTGTAGCGAGTCACGTGTACGCTGATCGACAGGTTCCACGGACTGGATATCAATACTTGTGATGTATAGATTATTCTGCTTGAAAACAAACACATCTCGAACTTTGTCCTTCTCATCAAAACCAAACACAGACGATCGGATAACTCTAGCTGAATTCTGTAACAAGCAAAAAACATGTCATCAGTAAAAAGTCTACCCATGGTGCTAGTTAAATATACATATTTCAGCTCGAATACGATTAAATTGGAAAAGAGCTCATTTTAACCAATCTTTATCCCGGCTCCAATAAACAATATTAGGAAACATGGTGGTCATCAAAGTAGGGATTTAACCAACAACCTCTGATTTCAGAGGCAGACACTTTAACTATAATACCAACCATTTAAAATTTACAAATGAGATGTTGAAACTTTGAACTTGTACAGAGTATGTACATAATTTTTTATAATAATGTTTTTTAACTACATTTGTTCTGTATCTTTTTAAGTGTGTAAAGCTATATATCAGCTACCCATAGCTATGAAAATTACTTTTTGAATTTTGAAAAAAAAAACTTCCTTAATGTGTAAGAAAAAAAATATTATGTTTCCCTAGGAACAAATGGCCCATGCACATCATCATTGCTAAAAGGTATAATCCCTACTCAAATGAGCAACATATAGCAACGTATTATTTCTATAAAATGCCCCTAACTAACATTTTCCGAAGGCTGGGTGGGGGGGGGGGGTATTAAAACAAACATTTTTTTTCATTCCAAAAACCATTGGAAATACGTTTGATGTTAAACAAGTTTTGGTAATAAAGTTAAAAAGTGTTAAAAGTTTAAGGTTTATAAGATACATTTTTCGTGTTTACTATAAAATTAAATGGATTCTGAAGGATTTGAATAGAATTATTAATTTACTCTTGGGTTCAGCACTGGTGAGTAGATTTTTGACAACTTAGAGGAATTGGATCGAAATTTCATAACATAGCACAGCAGGCAGGTGTACATGTATTAAGAAATTTTCTCTTTATATTAATTTTTTTGTATCAAATCAATGGTTTAAGGGAATTTGCAAAACCACACACATTCTTTTTTCTAAAAGCGATACCTTGTGGAAATCATCGAAAGCCACTTGAGCTACGGCCCCTCTGACACGAGAGGCGATAGCTTTGCAAGCATCACCAACGAAATCTGGCACGCTGAACAATTTAGCAGCATCCACGCCATCTTTCTTATTCTCTATGCCAAAGTGCCTGAAAAGTCAAAATGTTTTAAATACTTACAACAATCATTTTGAACATACCTTATGAAAATCATCAAAGGCGACTTGGGCAACAGCACCTCTCACACGAGATGCGATAGCTTTACAAGAATCGCCTACAAAATCAGGAACACTGAATAGTTTGGCAGACTCAACGGTGTCGTCTTTGCTTTTAACTTCAAAATGCCTGCAAAATGCTAGAATGTTAGAAGCACTACCAAGCAAGATTATCAACAGTGTTAAAAGGGATTATAGTAGATATGTTCATTATAAATATTTTAGGAAAACAGATGTACAAGAGAATCTATCTATCTAGCTGTCGTCCTGAAAACCTTTATCAAGTCACATAAAACGTAAAGCAAACTATGATGTTATTAAAACAAACAAAACATGTACGTTGTATCTATTACAATATGTGTGGCGGCGTGGCCGAGTGGTCAACACGTCAGACTAGTAATCTAAGGACTGCTGGCCGCAAATATTCAAACCCAGTTAGCGGAAAGCCGTTGTTTCCTTGAGCAAGAAATTTTACACTCGTTGCCAAGTACTGGTTAATTCCAGGAACAGATTCGAGAGTGTTTCAATAAGTTTATAGCTTCCAACACAATCAAACTAAAATAAATTCGTATAAACTAAATTTATCATTCCTTAAACTCTAACCGTTCTGAAACTTATGGAATCTTTATCATTAAACTTGGGAATAAAATTTAATTTTAATTGAATTTCAAATTCCAAAAAAAAAAATTCATGACATATATATATTTATAATTTTTTCTTAGCATCACATTCTAAATGTGCTGTTCAGTCTACTTACCAATTGTATGACAGTTGAAGTGAGAGCCTTGCGTGGTCAGATGTCTCGACTACAATGATATCTGTGCAGAAATCTGGTCCGAGAAGAAGACAAAGTGATTTGATCATGTTTGGTTTCTTTGGTTTACCACCAGAAATACTGAGCTGTGTGAATTGTTCATCTGGGCCAAGCATAACTAATTCTGGTCCAAAAATAACTCTGAAAAAGTGGCAAAATTTTTTGTTTTACAGAAAAATGAACTTGACATGATAAATACATGACATAATATTCTTTATTGTACAAATGCACATATCAATTGTGCAAAAATACAAGTTTTCATACATACAAGTACATAAATTTTAGTGTCTACATTATTACATAACAGGTTTCTTTTGTTGTTTTGGTTGTTTTTTTACATTGCACCATCCTAGTAGAGGTCATATGACGAGGAAGATCGAAGACCTCAGGTGTCCCTTCGCACAAACATGAAGGGGCACCCAAATAGAACCACAAATGTAATGTTAGCTAGCTGACTGGCTTCCTCACATGAAAGAAAAAAAATCTCAAGGAAGTCTCGAGCCCACAGAAGTGATGGGAAAGTGGTCAGAAGTCAACAACCATAATCACTTGGCTATGGACACCGGAGGTTTCGCAACAAACACTATCATACCACTATATTATATGATACCACAATATTATATGTCATGTAAACAGAAAATTAAAAAGAATATAACAATATTGCAGCAGACGACTTTCTTTCAACCAATTTTCCCGCCATATTTACCATTCTTACCTAGCTTTTTTCTCCTTATAATCATAAATCTGTACAGCGGCATTGTGTGGCACTCTAAATGTGATAACCCGTGTCTTGTCACGAGCCTTTCCGGCTTCTGGTGCACCTTTCGTATTGCGGTCAGCTAGCGGGTCTTTAGCTGCCATTAGCAGGTTCTCGACTGCGGGAGGAAGTTCCTTTGACCAGAGTTCCTCATCATGATTTAGCATGTAGGTCTCCCCTGTAACTGCTCTTACCTAAATGTAATAATAAACATTTACTAACATCCTTATGTGTATATCATAAACTTTTCTAAAAATAATCTTTTTTCATCTACAGGATTGAAAACAGTTCCAGTAGTACAGCCGAAAAAGATTTCCAGTTTATCATTAAAAAGAAATCCCTCATATATGTACTATAAAAGATATGATTTGATGTAACAAGAGCAATAAAATTTATTGGCTACACCTAGATAAAGCATCAAGTATTGCTGATTAATGGGTGTAAATGTGTGTCAGAAGTATTGAAATCTTGACGGTTAACTTTAAGCATAGATCAACTATATATATATGTTTCTGTAGAAAATTACTGAAAATTCTCAAACTTAAAGCAGCATGCCTCCAGATTCATGTTAATTTTCATGAAAATTTTGAAAAATGTTTTGAAAAGCACTATATTGTGAAGTGAACAAAGAAAGTTATTTCCACATTACAAACAGAACTTACAATCTGTGTTTATTACTAAAATGAGGTCAAAATATGCTAATATAGCCCTAACTGTATTTGTCACACAGTAGAATTATGGTGAAAACTACTACAAATTCAGTCATTACAGCCCATAACATGGAAACTATTACCAAAATTTTCAATCATTTTACTTTTCATAAAATTTCAGTACATTTTTTCTCAACTCTGATTTTCGTGAAATATTTCGACTCATCTGGAGGCATGCAGCATTAATGTAAAATAATCAAGTATACCTTGCCAGTTTTAACATCTCTGACATATATACCCTCGTTCTCATCAAGGGGAATGGCCTGTCGTTTCATCACCACCTCTACCTCTACGGGGGGAACATATTCTTTAGGGCCTCTGATCATCCATCTATCTCCTGGCTTACGATCCACCTCCTTTATAATGTTTAGGAAAGTTATTTTAACATTCTACATGTAAAATGATCACAATATAGTCTGTGTAATAAAAATCATGGAAATCTAAATGAACACGTATCATTATCTCATAGTAAAATTGTTGGATGTACTTGTTCATGCATTTATTTTTGTTGGATTTTAAGTCACATCAACAGTGTGAAAGTCATGCCTAAGACTTTCCAGCTTGACTATTGGAGGAAAACTTTGGCTCTCCCTCTCTGCATTATTTCAGACACAAGCTGGCACCCAAGTAGAACCACCCAGTTCAATAAGGTAGCTGGATACGTTCCTCACATTCAATATTCAAAAATATAGTTTTTATATTTCTACTAACTTTGAAAGTTGTCTATCTAGTGAAAACATACAATTAGAAGCCCATTCAGCTTAGAAAGTTTAAATGTTTAAAAATTAAACTCAAAATCCTCCATTTTTCAGGAGCTGCTTTTCGCTGCTTTCATTACTGCATTACTTATTGGCATTAAGCACGTAATTTATATATATAGAATATTTCTGAAATAATTCAAATTACTTACGCCATCTTTGAAACTCTCGTTAGCTCTCAGGATGAGACCCTCGTCTTCACCTAGGATATATACATTTTGAATTCCTCTCTCAAGTCGCTCACCGGGCATCAAGAAAAATGTCTTTTCTCCCTGTAAATCAAAAAATATATTCATGGTCACATTTTAAAATTTATTCCTGAACATTCTAATAAAGGGCATATCAATGAAAACAAAAAAAGGATTGTCAAAAATTGCTCACTTGGTTGTATTTAGCCATGACATATAAGGGAAGATGCTACATCTTTCACCTCCCTAGCACATGTTTTAGCAGTATTTAGTCCTCAACATTTTAAGTATTTGAATCAACACATACCATATTTTTTTTAAATAAACTATCCTGTTTTGATTCATAGGAAAGTTATTATCAATTTTGGATATCTTAATGACAGTTCTCAAGTTGCTCAGCCTACAGTATAGGGCCAAGTCTTACCAAGCTCTGAAGTGGTGAAAAAAAAGCTATTCTGATTCCATTTAAGGATTAAATTGTGGTGAGAAATGCAATGAAGTAAAACAAATAATAATTTCATCAAAATTTTCAAACCATGCATCATGAATGTCTAAATTTCTGGCATATGACTTATTTTGATTTTGTTTATAAATCATTTTTGCAACACATGTTTTCTTTAATAACTCTTTAGAAGACCCACTTAAACTAGAAATGTGTCCATAGGACACTGATGCCCCCACACGCCACTGTTCTGTCAATCTTATGACTCTAGGTCAAATATTTTTGGACTACATGTGCCACAAGTTGAAAACTAAAAATCAACAAAGGACCATAATTCTGTTAAATTTGGTCCCAGCAAAAATTCCTTCCTTTACTACCATCTACACATTAAGGTTGTTAATCCCTGGAAGTTTAAGCAAAATCTGCCATCCGGTTTAAGAGGAGTTGCGTTCACAAAATTTCTACATAGTATATAGTGAAAAAATCAACAAAGGGCCATAATTCTGTTAAATTTGGTTGCAGCAAAAATTCCTTCCTTTACTGCCATCTACACATTAAGGTTGTTCATCCCTGGAAGTTTAAGCAAAATCTGCCATCCGGTTTAAGAAGAGTTGCATTCACAAAATTTCTACATAGTATATAGTGAAAAAATCAACAAAGGGCCATAATTCTGTTAAATTTGGTCGCAGCGAAAATTCCTTCCTTAACTGCCATCTACATATTAAGGTTGTTCATCCCTGGAAGTTTACGCAAAATCTGCCCTCCGGTTTAAGAGGAGTTGCGTTCACAAAATTTCTACATAGTATATAGTGAAAAAATCAACAAAGGGCCATAATTCTGTTAAATTTAGTCGCAGCAAAAATTCCTTCCTTTGGTACCATCTACACATTAAGGTTGTTCATCCCTGGAAGTTTAAGCAAAATCTGCCATCCGGTTTAAGAGGAGTTGCATTCACAAAATTTCTACATAGTATATAGTGAAAAAATCAACAAAGGGCCATAATTCTGTTAAATTTGGTCGCAGCGAAAATTCCTTCCTTTACTGCCATCTACATATTAAGGTTGTTCATCCCTGGAAGTTTAAGCAAAATCTGCCATCCGGTTTAAGAGGAGTTGCGTTCACAAAATTTCTACATAGTATATAGTGAAAAAATCAACAAAGGGCCATAATTCTGTTAAATTTGGTCGCAGCAAAAATTCCTTCCTTTGCTACCATCTACACATTAAGGTTGTTCATCCCTGTAAGTTTAAGCAAAATATGCCAGCCGGTTTAAGAGGAGTTGCGTTCACAAAATTTCTACATAGTATATAGTGAAAAAATCAACAAAGGGCCATAATTCTGTTAAATTTGGTCGCAGCAAAAATTCCTTCCTTTACTACCATCTATACATTAAGTTTGTTCATACCTGGAAGTTTAAGCAAAATCTGCCATCCGGTTTAAGAGGAGTTGCGTTCACAAAATTTCTACATAGTATAAAGTGAAAAAATCAACAAAGGGCCATAATTCTGTTAAATTTGGTCGCAGCGAAAATTCCTTCCTTTACTACCATCTACACATTAAGGTTGTTCATCCCTGTAAGTTTAAGCAAAATCTGCCATCCGGTTTAAGAGGAGTTGCGTTCACAAGATTTCGGGACGTACGGACTGACAGACGGAAGGATGGACAAGTGCAACGCTATATGCTCCCACATTGTGGGGGCATAACAAGCTTTCCTTGAAAACTAACCAATAAATTAATTTCCCCACAAGTGACCAACTACTAATATCATTACTAAATCAGCAGTGAGAAATAAATGAACATTAGAATCAATGTCCAAGACCAATTGGTCATGGAGAAATTACGCCTTGCCCGAGGAACCAACCAGCGTCTCCTAGATTACTTTTCAAATACTCTCCATATTGAGCTTAGCAATCAGTTAGACTTCATTCTGTTTCTTAAGGATACACTGTATTTAATTAAATATCTTTTCAGACTATACATACCTTGACCAGCTTTTTCCTTCCCATCTGTGGTCTGCCCTTCTCATCTACAGGGTCTAAGATGACACAGTAGTGTCTGTTACTGAGAGATGTGATGTTGACAACTCCAACAACCTACAGGTATAAATTTGTATGACAAAATAAATTAAAGAATCTAAATTTAAATAAGGTTTGAGTTTTTGGTGTTGTTGTTTTTTTTTAAAATCATCTTTTTGTATTTCTGTCTTTCTTTTTTAATCAATGTTCAAAAATAATATGTTGCACTAAGTAACTTAGTTAGGAACAAACTTCCAAAGAAAAGTAGTAAAAATTCAATCAACAAAACAGAAAAGAATACATTATACCACAACCATTACCGATACCATTATTCTTCATTGATATTGTTTATAATTTTCGTCAGATTACTTTATTATATACTACATTAATAGATCATGAGAATATGCATCCTGAGAATGTATGTATTTCAAAAAGAAACTGACCTCTTCGTACACATTCGGGATATGTGTTTCTGTCATGTCCATGGTGATAAGCCATTCTTCACCGTTTTTACGTGTAACACCGAAATCATCCTTGAATGTCCTCAACGACCTCATATGGAGCGCCTTCTTCTCCGTTAGCACATATGCATTAACAATATCTACAACTTCTTCATACGCTCCTGGCAGGTAAGCTCCTGTCTTCTTCACTTCCCATTCCTCACCTGTTACACGTGCGTTACCCTCTCTATCAATGCATTCTTTACGTGCACGTAACCGGATGGCCTGGTTAGGCTTGATGATAGTGGCTCGAACCGTTTCCTCTACCACGACCTCTTTCCTTGGTATATAGGTACCTAAATGAAAGCAGTAATTTAAGAAACAATTTGTTTAGTTTCCGAAAAATAAGTCCCCACCAAAAATTCATTACAAATATCCCAATCAATCCCATTCTCTGGACTTGTACAATAAGTACATATAAGTACATAATGCTAATGTACGATTTTTGCAATGACAAGGGGTTTATAATTTCGGCTTTCTTTATTTCTGACTGTTGCTGGCTTTTTGTTTCAAAGTAAAAATGACCAATTTGGTGAATGGTATACACCTTCATATAATTACTTGCACATTAACGTGAGATACACATCATTGTTAAGATATTGTCACCTGTGTAGGTATTTAGTGAATACAGTCAAACTTGTCCAAAGTAACCAGCCAAGGGATGCACTCATTTAACCTTTCTGTCCTACCCAACAAAGATGATTGGGATTCTTACCTGGTCCCTCAAACAGCCACTCGTCACCAGCGGTCCTCTTTTCCCCTGTATCATCTTCAAAGTCTAATATTGCACGTAATCTTAAGGCCGAGTTAGGGGCCACAACTTTCAGCGGAGTTACAGCCTGAAAAATTATTGAAAACTTTTTATATAATTATGTAAATGACACATTGTTACAAAAAAGTTAATTTACAATTACATGTACACTGAACATGTTTAGAATGTTTTTATCGTTTTTAACAAGACCACTGACCTAATATCAATTTTATAAAGAATAAGGAAGTTATTCAAGATAAATTATATCTTTGTGCAGGTAGTTTAATCTTAACATTGCTTCCTTTTTAGCCTTATTACGTTTCACAGACTGTGTATCATGCACCCTATAGGGAAGAGTGTATGTGACACAGCAACTTGCAATGAGACTTGTTGAAGATAGGATTTCTGACGTTACTTCCTTAATTAAATATGATCAGTAGATACATGATTGAGGTATATAAAAATCTTAAAGAAGTAAACAGTATAAAAATATACAATTACAAAATATATCACTTGAAATGATCCTTGTTGACAATAAAAATTTTAAGGTAACTTCCTTAAATATGACCAGCTTTGCAAGTTGAGCCCTGGTTAAATGATACCTAATTTTAGTTTTATTATAAGTTTACAAACATCATTCCTTCCATTTAGATACATTTTAAATTTTGATAAAATTTTTTTTTAATCAAGATTCAACTTTTTTCTATAAATAAAGGATTTATTTCATCAAGTGGTATGAAAATATATATGATAATTTTCAAGACACCAGTGAAAATATGGAAAATATATTTCACTGCAGTGAAAAATAAATTTTTAAAGTGAAAATAGGAAAATGAAAATAAGCATTTTATTTCATCAATATTTTCTTAATACATCACTTATAATACAACAAATAAAGCTTAATATTATTTGAGCCACGTCACGACAAAACTAACATAGTGCGTTTGCGACCAGCATGGATCCATGCCGTTTGCTTACCAACTATATTACAAGTAGAGAAACTGATAGTGAACAGCATGGATCCTGATCAGACTGCGCAGATGCGCAGGCTGGTATGGATCCATGCTGGTCGAAACGCACTGTGTTGGTTTTGTCCTGACACAGCTCAATTTTTAAGAAAGAATAAACAGACCAACCTGTTTAAGAACCTCTCCAGGATAAAGTGGGAAGGGATCCTGGGCAAGTCTGATCTCTTGGTCAGCGTGTAAAAGCCGGACTTGACCGCTCTTATCAAGGAGAACACTGTTATCTTTATCTCTCAAGGCTGGATTCTCGATGACACAGTAATGCCTGGGTGGCACTGTGATCATCTTTTCTGGGCCAATAACCACCCTAAAATCGATCAAATCTTCGTTATTTTACAGAAATATTCAATTAAATGGGAAACTGTTCATTTTTTTTTATCATCATCAACTAGAAAAAAACCTGTATAAATATAATTAATTATACTACAGAATATTTCCTTTTGTTGGTTTTAATGCTTAATTGCGAAGAATATAACCGGGTGGGTTATTTTAGAGACTTATAATTATTAAGCTCTGTGCTAATTTGTACCACTCTAAAAAAAACATTTTTTTTTTCCCAGAACAAACCCAACTGATGTCATATGACAAAACATTTGCATGACCCCAGCAGAATCTGAGCCAAATATTTCTGTGTTAACAGACAGACAATTAAATCATCAAGCCACAGTCAACTTAGTATCCTTTCTTTTATGTCATCAAAAAAATGGACAATAATAAAATATAGTGCAACCTGTACTGGACAACCAAACCTCTGTAGAACAACCACCTCTCTACAACAACAGTACTCTTCAACAGGTAAGGCTGGACAATAAATCTTACCTTCCTACCTCAGGAGCTTGACATTCTATCAATAAATGAAAAATATAAGCAAATAATTAAGAAATAACGGCAAATATACCCCTCTATACAATAAATATATTGTATAGAGGGGTATATTTGCCGGCATTTCTTAATTTTTTTCTATTTTTTTTCAATTATCAAAAGAAATTATATGTCAAGCTCTTGTGCATTCTACAGCAACCACTCTTAGCATCAACAAAAATCCAAAAGATGTTGCTCTGGGGACTGTACACCTTATAAAATTTTGCCACTTAAAAAAACACACAAACACAAAAAAAAAACCCAAAAAAATAAAACAAGAGGGCCATGATGGCCCTGAGGTCGCTCACCTGTATATAGGCCCCCCCTCACCCCCCCTCCCCCCCAACGTTTCAGGGCCAATTTAAATCAAGGGCTTTTATTTGCACAAACTCGGTAGACACCCATAAGAAGATGTTTCATGCTAAACATCTAAGCTCTAGCTCATTGGGCTTTTTGAAAGAAGATTTTTTAACGTTTTTACTTTACACATATAGTTAAAAACAATGACACCCCTGGGGCCGGGCCAGTTTTGACCCCAGGGCTTTTATTTGAACAAACTTTGTAGACACTTACTAGAAGATGTTTCATGCTTAATATCTTAACTCTAGCTATTTGGGTTTTTTCAAAGAAGATTTTTTAAGTTTTTGCTATACACATATAAGGAAAATCAATGACCCCCGGGGCGGTGCCAATTTTGACCCCAGGGCTTTTATTTGAACAAACTTAGTAGACACTTATTAGAACATGTTTCATGCTAAATATCTTAGCCATAGCTCTTTGAGTTCTTTAAAAGAAGATTTTTTTTAGTTTTTACTATATGCATATAGGGAAAATCAATGATCCTCCAGGGCGGGGCCATTTTTGACCCAAGGGCTTTTATTTGAACAAACTTGGTAGATACTTATTAGAACATGTGTCATGCTAAATATCTTAGCTTTAACTCTTTTGGTTCTTTAAAAGAAGATTTTTTAAGTTTTTACTATATGCATATAGGGAAAATCAATGACCCCAAGGGGCGGGGCCAATTTTGACCCCAGGGCTTTTATTTGAACAAACTTGGTAGACACCTATTAGAACATGTTTCATGCTCAAAATCTTAGCTCTAGCTCTTTTGGTTCTTTAAAAGAAGATTTTTTAAGTTTTTACTATATGCATATAGGGAAAATCAATGACCCCCCGGGGGTCGGGCCAATTTTGACCCTAGGGCTTTTATTTAAACAAACTTGGTACACACTTATTAGAACATGTTTCATGCTAAATATCTTAGCTTTAACTCTTTTGGTTCTTTAAAAGAAGATTTTTTTAGTTTTTACTATATGCATATAGGGAAAATCAATGACCCCCTGGGGCGGGGCCAATTTTGACCCCAGGGCTTTTATTTGAACAAACTTGGTAGACACCTATTAGAACATGTTTGATGCTAAATATCTTAGCCATAGCTCTTTGAGTTCTTTAAAAGAAGATCTTTTAAGTTTTTACTATATGCATATAGGGAAAATCAATGACCCCCCGGGGCGGGGCCAATTTTGACCCCAGGGCTTTTATTTGAACAAACTTGGTAGACACCCATTAGAAAATGTTTCATGCTAAATATCTTAGCTCTAGCTTTTATGGTTCTTTAAAAGAAGATTTTTTAAGTTTTTACTATATGTATATAGGGAAAATCAATGACCCCCCGGGGCGGGGCCAATTTTGACCCCAGGGCTTTTATTTGAACAAACTTGGTAGACACCCATTAGAACATGTTTCATGCTAAATATCTTAGCTCTAGCTCTTATGGTTCTTTAAAAGAAGATTTTTTAAGTTTTTACTATATGTATATAGGGAAAATCAATGACCCCCCGGGGCGGGGCCAATTTTGACCCCAGGGCTTTTATTTGAACAAACTTGGTAGACACCCATTAGAAAATGTTTCATGCTAAATATCTTAGCTCCAGCTTTTATGGTTCTTTAAAAGAAGATTTTTTAAGTTTTTAGTATATGTATATAGGGAAAATCAATGACCCCCCGGGGCGGGGCCAATTTTGACCCCAGGGCTTTTATTTGAACAAACTTGGTAGACACCTATTAGAACATGTTTCATGCTAAATATCTTAGCTCTAGCTCTTATGGTTCTTTAAAAGAAGATTTTTTAATTTTTTACTATATGTATATAGGGAAAATCAATGATCCCCCGGGGCGGGGCCAATTTTGACCCCAGGGCTTTTATTTGTTAAACTTGGTAGACACTCACTAGAAGATGTTTCATGCCAAATATCTAAGCTCTAGCTCTTATGGTTTTTTAAAAGAAGATATTTAAAGTTTTTTCTTTCGGTTGCCATGGCAACCAGAGTTCTTCATAGAATTAAAATCTTTGAACAATTTTTAAAGGTGACCACCAAAGGAACATTCCTGTGAAGTTTGGATGAAATTGGCTTAGTGGTTTATGAGGAGATGTCATTTAAAGTAAAAGTTTACGGACGGACGGACGCCGGACGGACGCCGGACGAAAAGCGATCACAAAAGCTCACCCTGTCACTTTGTGACAGGTGAGCTAAAAATTCAAAACCAAAAACGTTTAAAAACACAACAAACAAATCAGTATATAGATCTATATATATATGAGCCGCATCATGACAAAACCAACATAGTGCGTTTGCGACTGGCGTGACCAGACCAGCCTGCGTATCTGCGCAGTCTGATCAGGATCCATGCTGTTCGCTTACCAACTCTTATTACAAGTAGAGAATCTGATAGCGAACAGCATGGATCCTGATCAGACTGCGCGGATGCGCAGGCTGGTCTGGATCCATGCTGGTCGCAAACGCATTATGTTGGTTTTGTCATGACACGGCTCATATATTCACCTTTCATTGTCCTGCCTGATGTACGTCTGTGGACCAACTTCCAACCTCGTAACATTTTTGTTCTGGTCAAGTACATGAATATAATAATATGGTGGAATTCTGAACAAAGACTCGTTGTCTTTCCTAGTTGCCATGTTTACTCAGTTCTGAAAATAGACAATTAAAACATTTTCTAGTTTTCTTTCAACATGTTACTAATTTAAAAAAAAAATTTCATTGTTTTCTCAAGTCTTACCTACTTCATTCCAATTTCTTAATTTTCATATTTTTTCAAACAATACAATCATGCAAACTCACAATATAAATAACTGAATGTGTAGTTTCACTAACCCATATTGTGTGTTAATTATCAATTACAAAATTATTTGAGCTGCGTCACAACAAAACCAACATAATGTGTTTGCGACCAGCATAGATCCAGACCAGACTGCTCATCCACGCAGTCTGATCAGGATCCATGCTGTTTGCTATCAGTTTCTCTACTTGTAATAGGGTTGGTAAGCAAACAGCATGGATCCTGATCAGACTGCGCGGATGCGCAGGCTGGTCTGGATCCATGCTGGTCGCAAACACTCTATGTTGGTTTTGTCGTGACGCGGCTCATTTGTGCTTGGCACTTTGTCAATAAAGTACAACTAGCAAACATTTTTTTTTTAACAGTTGAAGAAACAAGGGTCCTGGATTCTGTACCAGTACTGACCAGTTTTTCAACCAGTTACACCCGACCGAAAAATGCTTTATTGGGTTAATCAACTGTTCTGTTTTATATAGGTATATAAATGTAGGTAAAGCTAGATCAACATAATTATTTCCAACTATCCCACTTAATCTACTCTACACTAAAGCTACACTTCAATACACCACTATAAACACAGGTTAACTGGTTATTACTTAAAAATGTGTGTACTTGGTCCAGGTATAAATCGTCTATTTAGGATAATTACTATACAAGAAAACTTTATCAAAACTATGTGGCTGTTTTTTTACCTATACACGACCTTGATCTATTATTCTGATTATATAAAAACAATTTGGAAAATTCTTCTTTATATGAGGTGGTTTTCTTAAAAAAATTAATTGTTTAAACTACATTGACTTAAAATGCAAGACAACCTTATTATTTATTTTAACTGATAATTTTTACCCCCTTACCTTACCTTAGAGCCTTAACCCCCAGTACAAAACCAGGCCAGTCTACACATACATGCAGCCTGACCAGGCTGACACTATATTGTTGGTAGCTCAATTATTAATTTTTGAAAAATATTGAAATCCCTCAAATTTCAAATGTACTGTTCCAAATTCAAAACTGGACAAATCCAGTACAGAAATTCAGCAACTTAAGGTTTTTTAACTGACCTCACCTGAATTTATGAAGTGGACTTGTCCCGATTTGAATTTGGAACAGTGCATTAGTTGTTTCAGGAATTTCAGACATTACAATAAAGCAGCAGCAGGCAGTATATAGAGGCAGGTTAGACTTAAATAAGCAGGTATTAGTTAGGTTTTTATAACAATTGGCATTATTGCAAAATATTTTAAATATAATCTCTAGCCTACAAAAGAATCAGCACACAATTATGAAAACATCATTGGTCAGAACTTATTCATCCTTGGGAGAAAAATCAAGTATAATATCTCTGTTGACCTACACTACAGAAAGGAGTTAATATTTAATAATGACCAATGTTACAGAAATATTGGATTTCTAGCTAAAAATCATGTAAAAATGAAGCTTCTGCCAGCTAAGTTTTATTTACTTGTTTCCAGTAGATTTAACAGTGATGTCAGATGTACATTGGTAGCCAAAGAATGTATACAGGGAAAAACACTGTTGTGTTCTACACTAATTTTTCATATGTTCTTCATTATGTGATCAATATATTATATATATTAATAATATTCCAGCACTTATATATTATAACTTACAACCCTGCTAAATTTGTGTTAATGAACTTGTCCTGCTTTTTATTTGGACTAGTTCATTGTAAACAAGAGGGATGTCAGAGTTAAATTCATAAAATTAAGCAGAAATCAGGTCACAGCTTCAGGTCAAACTATATATCAACATGCCAGTAGGGCCTATCTATATAATTATATACATTTGTTGTTGTAGCAAAGCCTATAATTATCACTACCAGTACAAAATGGAAATTCACCAACCTGTTTATAAAACTTTATGAATGAATCTAATTATACGTTATATCCTAATGTTTATATACTGATAATGTAAAAAAGAATTCTATAGTAATAAGTATACATGTATATAAGTTATGACGTTATAAACCTATTCAAAATTTACAATCAATAACTGTATCCTTGTACTATATATATATATCAGTCAATGTGTTTCCCCTTCATTAGCCAAGTGTATAATAGTAATACTGCATGTACATATTGATTTGGTATTGATCAACTGTTAAAAGTTTTGAATCTATTTTTTTCCCTAGGGGTTATGGTTAAAACTTCTTTTGCTGATCTTTTTTCTCCCTAATTAACATTATGATAATGTAGCTTTTCTTGACAATCCTAAACGGTTCTTAAAATTGAAAATTCTACTAGTATAATAAAACATCTGTTTCAAATAAATATAAAAATAATAGATATATAATATCTAATTCTTTCAAAATTTTATTCCCATACAACAGAACATTATGTTACTTACGAGTGTTCACATATATATAAATAATAACCATTCAAATAATAATAAGTTATCTACAGTTATATCTATCAAAAGCCGTCTAATGTCTATATCCAACCTTGTGCGTTTAAATATTGCTCTAAATAAATACACCAACCCTATTATCTCCCTTCAGAATATATTATTATTAAGTAAGTAAGATATTTCTACCCCACTTACCATGCACTTTACCTTGACAAGTCTCAACTGAACTAAATAATTTATAATCTATACTGTAAATATTGACCGCATTCATATTGATTTTACAATAAGACTACAATGTACTGTATACAGCAATACGACTGTACAAATACATATCAAGGTCATTACGTCTTTGAAAACTGAATGGTTTTGGTTTTGAAATACTGTACTCTCTCAATTAATAATACTAAATATCAATTTTTTGGTAAGGTTTTAAGTCACACCAACAGTTGGTTGAAATTATTTTTTGTCCAATAGGATTGCACTATTTCAAATGAATCGTAACACATACACTTTGGTTAATCGGCAAACTGATAATCAGTCTTAAGTAAATCAACTGTTTTAACTTTATAAATTTAAATTAATTTTAAACACTTAGCTGGTTAACATTTATAAGTTTGTATTTACAAAATTAAATTGGTCTCGCAGCTGTGCCATGCCTGACCACTTTAATTTAAATTTGTAAATTGGCACAAATAAACTTTAATCTATACTTAACTGATAGATACATGCAGGCCCATGCACCTTTAATACCAGAGAAATTCAATGTTACTTTAGCGCATGTTCATTGTGGTTTGATACCAATTTCCTGTCAGGTCACGATCAGTATGCTACAGTTTTTGGTTTGTTATTTACTTGCAGTAATCAACATTTTAGAAGTACTTAATTAATTAAGTACATGGAGTAACTTATCGTTATTAATTAGAATTAAGTTAATTATCATAAACTCTGCGCTACTTTTACATGATCTAGTATATAAACATATACAACATCTATCACAAATAATTTACATGCCAGTAAACCACACCACTTAATCACCCATATACATTGTAAACATAAATCAAGATTATATTACAAATATATATAAAAGCTACATAATTTCAAAAGAGACAACACTTTCAAAACAGTTTTGAATGACTACCTTACTTTGAATAACATATTTGTGATAATTATAATTTTCATGATAATCATAATAATACATTTAAGTAACAAGCACATATATTTTCCTCACATATATAAAACAGTCCCTTTACTGTAAGCTACATATGTACCCTTATATGTCAAAATTATCTAAAACCTTTACACGTCTTGAGAGAACTAAGTTATTCTGTATACATGTACAATATTTGAAATGATTTTCTCGAGTATTAACAGTTTTTGTTGATTATAATTTTGCCTTTAGTCTAAATTATTTAATCACTAACTCATTAATTATTAATACACAAATGCATATTATGTTTACATGTACAGGTACATGTATACAATCAAACATAAAATATTTTTAATTTACCTGTTACAAAAATGTAAAAAGATTGAAGTGAAGTTCAGTCTATATTCACTGCCACATTTTGACCGGTTGTAAATTACAGTATAGGAATAGATTATTGCAAAAATTTGATCAATATATATTCCCGATAGATTTTGCCCTGTCAGCAAGGAGAAAATCAATCCTCTACTATTACAACAAATATTTCACAACCAAATAGAAACCTCAAGCTTGTATTTCGTTTGTTAGTATAAAGGATCTATTTATAGACATGCATAGACAGAACTATTTGTTGGTACATGTATATCATACAGTAAGAAAGATTTATCTTATTTCACAATTTGCAAATTATTGTGAAATCCACTTTGATCTACCCTTGTACACTATAAAAGCAGGTAAAAGTAATGTTTCAGATATTAGTTCAAACTAAGTTTATACATTGAAATGATAGGATTAGATTCTATTTAATAATTTATTTATGAATGAACACCTTTTTGACTATAATGATACATGTAATCAGTAGAACCTGTACATAACTGAATGCAATGATTTTTTAACAAAATGTTTTTTCTTAAAACCTGCTGTTTATCACCTGTTAATATATTCATACAAACATGCATGAAAAACAAACTTGAAAGTTAAAAAATCAGTACATTTGGACAAATTTGATTGATTAATTCATCCCATTGGATTTAGAGATCACTGTTTAGAACTTTCCAAGTTATAAATTAAGAAAAATAAAATATCTTTTTTATTCACTTTATTTATTTTAAGACAAGAAAATTCAAATTAAATACTACTTGCATTAAATTTTAAGTTTAAATTATCTCCTGATAAAACAGAAAAAGCATATAGATCTTATCAGCTCTATCTATTAGCTAATTAAATTAATTAAGACATGTACACCAGAAATTACAAATCCCCTTCCAGGGCCTCTTTGCGAATCAGCGAGCTCATTAAAACACCTACGGCGAGAATAAAGTGAAATGACAGTCGAGTTTTACCATAGAGATACTTTCTCTTCAATAAACTGATACAAGAAAACACACACCGAACATAAAACTCTATATATTTACTTCAAAAATAAGATAATTCTCACCGGTTGCTCCTGGCTCCTGCACAAAACTAAAACATTCACTTCCTGAAAAGACACGACTTTGACGTCACAGATTATAAATAGAAGTGACACTCTTACTAGACACCGGCATTGGAGAATTTTTCCCGCCAAAAGCGAGGGACCAGTAATTTATTTTTAGAAATGATTTGTTTAATTTGCGAACATAGCTGTTCTGACGAAATGGGTCAACAATAACCGCGTGAATTTGCGTAAATTACCTTGATTTGTAATATATATTACAGTAACCGCAAAAGTATGACGTACATTATAACAGGTTCCCACCAATGACCAGATACAGTCATGTATTTTAACGTCTCTGCAATGAAGGTTATTATACATCGTTAAAGTACAATGGACGAGAATATAAACCTTAATTAGACAAAGCGCATAGGTTTTGATTTGTATCTGTATACGAGTCGAACAGAATCAGTACTTATTGTTCTCAACTATGTACAATGACCTCTATATTTCACATTTCTTCGACATTTTGACAGACCTTTGTTACTTCAGGTACAATAATTAATGAATTGATATGAATTCTTTGATCCTGAATAGATATGGAGTAAGATAGCATTTGATATATACATATTTTGACTATGAAAATGAAAACGGGCACTATTACCTTTTGTCTGACCGCTATTAAAATTAATTTGCGGCGAGTAACCTAAAGAAAGAGGCGCCTAGTTCCAAAAGTATTCAGTGCATTTTATTAGATATGTTGTTATATATTTAAACGATATGATTTTTTCCTCACCAAATTATTTTTGAAAAGGGTGGTATGATATATATAGCATATTGTACTTTAGACCCATTGTCATATTATTGTGGCCTCCTAGTCAGCCCAAAACATTGAACCTTCTTCATCCTCCAACTTGCGGGCTGACTGATTGGTCACTGAATACCTATATATGAGACCCTCATGCAGTGCTTGAATATCACATAATTCAGAATCCGATTAACATTCATGTAGAGTTTTATGATTTGCAAAATGTCTGGCAACGTTTTTATCAAGTACATCAAGACGTATATCAAGTATAGCAAATATGATAAACAAGATCAACAAGGAAAGGCGTTCAATGAACGCAACCCCACACGACCCAGCAACAAGAACCAATGGCAAGGAGCCCAGGCGGACCCAACAAAAACAGGAGGGGCATGGACAGGTTAATCAATAAAATGATATTGCCGAACAATCCCTTGATGAGGAATTTAGCGATTCTTTGCTTTTAAACAAATAGATTTTCACTAACCAATTAACCCTACCCCTAGCAGGAACTTCTTACTTAACATTTTCTCTGTTACTCCGTTACAATGACAAGAGGAATAGAAATTGTCAATAAAGATTTGAAAATGCAAAATAAGAAATTATACATATATGTTTACTTCTGGGGGATTATTAGAGGTTGATTTAAAGGGAGATAAATGTTTATATATACCGAGTGATATAATTTAGGTAATATTCTAATGTGCAAAATAAGATCGACCAAAATAAAAAAAGATTTGGACAAACATTATTAACAATGTATTTCCCACATACACTTTAATTTTTCACATAAATACATATAAAACGGTATTTTTACATAAGTTTATTCTGCATTTCTGATATTTTCAGTAACCCAGGTGCATTACATACATAAATATTGTTTTGAATGTGTTGGAAAAATACAAACTTTCTCTCGTTTTACTTTTACATTTATCTGTCTAGTTGAAAGTGTTAATTACCTTGGAATGATTTTATCTGGCTGTTGGTTGATGACTTCAGTTGTTGCACTCTACACGAACAAACGCAATAAATATGTTAAACAAAAGGCCTTATTCTTTACCAGGTCTCTGACTACTGTTTTTTGTTTGTTGTTTTGTTGTTGTCTTATTTTTGTTGTCATCTTATAATTATCTATGAGAAGAATCTTGGAGAATCCTGAAAATAAGCGCAACGTTATATTATGTCCCAAAAAGAATGTAATGTAATGGTTAAGGACATTGGTTGTTGCGCTTATAGAAATACTTCAATTAACTGCAAAATATATGCTGGAATTACCAGAATTATCAACAAATAATATATATAGAATATTAAAATAGAGTGAAATAAAAATCCCAACGCCGCAAAATTGAAAATGTTGCAGGCTTGGTTTGATTGAGCCTGTTCATGGACGGTACTGTCAAGTGCAAACTACCGTCCACGCCCCTAGCACCGGCTTAAGCAGAATTCAACATTTAACATGAACTGGTAAAATTTAGAATTTTGAAACATCCGCAGATGTGTTCATATGGAGGTTATCATGGAACCTACAATGTGACACGTTAGTACCATTCCATGAAAAGCGGCATATGGTCCCCAAGTAAAAAAAATGCCTGCGCCCTAAACGAGAAAACAATGGGCGGAACTAAATAAAATGGAATTTTGAAAGGGGATCTGAGGTTATGAAGCCTGCATATCACAGATATGACGTCAAAAGACAAATTTAAAAAGCAGGCCACATATCCTAAGGGTGATTCAACAGTATTCAAGTAAGGAATACTGGAACCACCCAACATAGAAAGAACTTAAATACCACAAGCACAACAATTATGTTGTGCTGAACTATCTTTAAGGATCGGAAATATACATCCCTGATTGAATGTACGGGGCGACTTTTTACAGCCTCCACACGACACAAACAACGCTGATGTGGCCATGCTTTACAAAATTATTAAATAAATTAAATAAATAGGTATGACTTTATATCAAGCATTTTTTTTATTTTAATAACACTACTGTAGCAATTAAATAAAAATCACACAAATGGCAATTAGCAAAATTTCAATTTATCAGTTCTATCATGGAGCTAAATATAAGCTATATATTGTTTTATGTATCTGTGGTTCTATTAAATTGATGATTTTCTAACTTTATCTCCAAATCACAATAAAATATTGTTTATCAAAAAAAAACATTTATGGAAAATTTACCGAAAAGGAAAATATTTTACAAATTAATGAAAATGTGTTTGAAAAGGGCCGAATCGTCACTAAATAGGGACGAATCTTCAAAGGAGCGAATTGTCATTTGGGCGAATCGTTATGTTATTGTATACGGTTTAGGTACGGATACTGTACGGCTTTTTTAGTTGCCTGAGAGAAAATAAAAAAAGAAAGTGGTTGTTTATTAAACTCTACTGGTTTATGACAAAAATTCTTATGATCTGTGCGGTTTACAAATGACTGTCGCACTCTTAAATATTCGTTTTGAAATCTGTAATCAATTTGACTCAGTTCCAGACATAAAATTTAGTGGTAAATTGTTTCCTTATCTGACAGAAGTGTCAATTTTATTTAATATCTATCAAAAATCATGATCTATTTAATCTATTCTGATAAAAAAAACTGAATATTTTTCATTTTTTCCTTACAATTATAACTATGTTATTCAAATGTTAATTCTTCTCATACACTTTATAACATCGCCAAATTAATAAACTGATAAACATGAGGAAATTATGTTAAAATTACTGTGACAGGGTGAGAAAAATGTGCAGACTGAGTCACTGACTGGGACTCAAACCCAGGACCCTCGGAATACCGTACTACAGTTCTACAAACTGAGCTTTGTGGCCGCTTACACATGGTCTCTCTGAAATAGTGAACAGTTCTTAACCATGACATACTCCCCTGCTATATTGAAATTTGTCCTTGAATTTACAGAGCAATGTGAATTAAACTCTGAGCTATATTCAGTCAAGGCCCAACGTCGGGGGCCAAATGTCACAGGGTGAGAAAAATGTGCAGCCTGACCGGGACTTGAACCCGGGACCCTCAGAATACAGTACTGTGGCTCTGCAGACTAAGCTATCTGGCCGCTTACAATCTTCTCCCCTAAAAAATGAACAGTTCTGAACTGTGACATTATGATATAAATTATCACACTCATTGGGATTAACTAATTTTTTATAGTCTTTAATTGTTCCTCATTTCAGCAAAGGGGTTTGTTGTATCTGTTGACAGTTCAGTGAATAAACCAAGTTACGCATCTATTGTCCAAGAAGAAACACCCCCACCAACCCCTGACGAAGAGAGATCCATTGGCCTAAGTGATTATCGTGGTTGTCGGAAACCACATGAAATACAGATAGAGACTTACAACTGTGAAGGTATATTTTTACATCATATACCGGTATATTGAATAGGATGGTGTCCTTTGGTACAGCAGTATTGCTCAGTCATGTGTTTTTACACTCAGCAGGGCATCAAAACTAACGACTCTGGGATACTTTTTATTTCCGTACTTTTATTATATAAACGAACTAATTGTCTTTATCTGGCATTTTACTGGTATTAATTTTAGTTAAGTATACATGCCCCTGGCTTAAATGTATAAGCCAATAATAGAAAGAAGATGATCCATCTACAATGTTCAAAGGTGGTGCTACAAATGCAAATTAACACATGCTCTAATTACCAATAACATATTGACAAGGACGCCATACCTTCAGGGAGTACATTATTAGAAAATATTTACTAAGTTAACAAGGATGGGATGCATAACATCATGTCTCACATAGGAAATATTTTGGTAACACTTATGTTATTATAATATGAAATAGTGCATTTATTAAAGTAAGAGGTGAAGCTTTGTTCAATTATTATTTAATTTCCTTTTTATTTTCATTTCTTGCAGACTTTGACCTTCTGGGAATTGAAGCGTATTTAGAAGCGAGTCATAGTTCAATGACCTCTTACCTCGCTTCAGAAACAGATGCTGGTGTATTGAAAAAGGATTTATCAGTAAGAAAGGCTAAATCTATTGATAAAGATGAAAAGGAGCAGAAAGAACTTCTAGAGAAGGTAGTAACAGACTCTGAGCATGTTTCAGAAAAGGTAATACAAGATAGTGGAGTGAGACCCAAATCACAAAGTCCAACACCCAAGGCAGGTTTATCTGCAATCCATTTCTACTCTGGTAATCCTGCTGTGGAAAAGGTGAAAGGGATACTGCATATCTACAAGGATAAGTAAGTAAAGGCTAATATTATTAGTTATAAAGATTCTTGACACATTATATGGTCTTTTTGTATGTATTGCAAACCGCCGTTTCATATACATGTACAGCCATATAACCTGTCAGAAATCTTTATAACAGATTTATAATACAGCAAGCATCTTTTTTGAGAGAAAGTCTTTTGTGAGAGAAAATGTGAGATTTCTTCATAAATTGTTAGCAGACATATATATAAAAACTATATAAACATCATGATTATCCAATGAAAAGTGACATTACAAACATGCAGCATTGTAAATAATGATAGATATTGGATGGGTTAAGTTGGTTCTAATGTTACATAAAAAGAACAGTGATGTTAATACTTGTATTATATAAGAGGCTGAGACATACATGTATATGCAGTTTGCTTCCAGATCAGTTATATATGTAAGATCTCAATTCACTTATTGATTATGAATTTGAATTCATAAGAGAAACAAAGATTCTGCTACTGTGTCAACACATTAGAGGAGTACTGTATAACTTACATTAAATTAATTTTTGTAACCTTACTTAAGTTGCCTTAGATTGAAAAAAAAAAGATCAGAATACACATCATTTTGGTCATTTACATGTACAAAGCGCAGTCTGATCAGGATCCATGCTGTTCACTTACAAACCCTATTACAAGTAGAGAAGCTGATAGCGAACAGCATGGATCCTGATCAGACTGCGCAGGCTGGTCTGCATCCATGCTGGTCGCAAACGCATTATGTTGGTTTTGTCATGACACGGCTCATGTCATTTATCGATTTGTGAGCACACCAAAAAACCCAAACATTTACTTTAATGAATTTTGTTATAGCTGTCGAAACAAGAAAATATCATTTAGCTTTTTGTCCAAATTTTTTTTTATGCATGTTTTCTATTTTTAACCATTGATATATTTAGCAATTTAATTAAAATATTTTATTTTTAGCCATTTAACCAGCCTATCAGAGGAGACCCAGAGGAGTGAGTTGATCTGTATGCTAGCGGTTCCTGCCAAATACACCATACATGATCTACTAAAGTTTAATGGACCATGCCTGTAAGTTTGTAAGATGGTAACAAATAGGTCTATTAATATTTTTTTATCAGTTATTTATTATTAATCTTTAAAAGATTCAAGTACTGTACATGATATGGATAGTCTCCATTGCTGAGTGTTTTAGGCCTCTGATACCAGATTGACACTCACCACTGTATTATCATTTACATGCTTGGATAGGTTTCCATCAGTTTATTTATAGTGGTTTTTCTCACTTAATTTAGATGCCCTAGCCTCTTCAGTTTGGGAAAAATTATTGCTAAAATTGATTTATTTGGAAAGTAAAAAGGCTAATGTAAGTTCAGATTTTAGGGAAAACTGCAGGATTTTGAAGAAAATTTCCATTGAGAAGAGGCGTTTGATAGGTCTGTGGTAGTTAAGGTTAAAAAAAAACACTGAGCTAAAAATGCATGTTTGGTTCATTGCAGGTCTGGCATAGAGTATATGAGAATTATAAGAGATGGTTCACCTAACCAATATATGGTGCTAGTCAAATTCAGAAATCAGGTTTGTGAAAATACATACTGTAACTGGGTTGCTAGTTTTTATCCCCCGCCGATGGAATCGGGAGGGGGATATAGTTTTGGCGTTGTCCGTCCGTCCATCCGTCTGTCCAAATTTCGTTTCCGGAGTAGTTCTCTGCAACTACTGGCTGGAATTCAACGAAACTTTATGGGAATCATTAATATCAAGAGGAGATGCGCATATCGTCAGCTTGTTCCGGTCCGACCCTTTAACTCAGAGTTATGGCCCTTGATTAGTTATGTAGTATGCATATAGAGTAAAAATCGTTTCCGGAGTAGTTCTCTGCAACTACTGGCTGGAATTCAACGAAACTTTATGGGAATCATCAATACCAAGAGAAGATGCGCATATCGTCGGCTTGTTCCGGTCAGACACTTTAACTCAGAGTTATGGCCCTTGATTAGTTATGCAGCATGCATATGGAGTAAAAATCGTTTCCGCGCTACTTCTTTGCAACTACTGGCTGGAATTCAACGAAACTTTATGGGAACCTTCAATACCAAGAGGAGATGCACATATCATCAGCTTGTTAGGGTCAGACACTTTAACTCAGAGTTATGGCCCTTGATTAGTTATGCAATATGCATATGGAGTAAAAATCGTTTCCGGAGTAGTTCTCTGCAACTACTGGCTGGAATTCAAGGAAACTTTATGGGAATCATCAATATCAAGAGGAGATGCGCATATCGTCGGCTTGTTCCGGTCAGACCCTTTAACTCCGATTTATGGCCCTTGATTAGTTATGTAGTATGCATATAGAGTAAAAATTGTTTCTGCACTACTTCTCTGCAACTACTGGCTTGAATTCAACGTAACTTTATGGGAACCTTCAATACCAAGAGGAGATGCGCATATCGTCGGCTTGTTCCAGTCAGACACTTTAACTAAGAGTTATGGCCCTTGATTAGTTATGCAGTATCCATATAGAAAAATTTTTGTTTCCTCGCTACTTCTCTGCTACTACTGGCTGGAATTCAATGAAACTTTATGGGATACTAAGAGGAGATGTGCATATAGTCGCCTTGTTCCAGTCAGATACTTATAACTCAGATTTATGGCCCTTGAGTAGTTATGTAGTATGCATACATCTCTTTGGCATTTCCAGATTTTACTATTTAACACAAAGGTATGGCTCTGTTATTGCCCTGAATATTTATCAAGTTCAAAGAATATTACTGTTTATGCCATGATTAATATATGAATAAAGCCTTATGTCTTCAGTTGTTGTGTTAATAATAACCAGTACTCGGCGGGGGATATAAATTCAACGAATTTGCTTGTATAAAGACTATAAAGGTGTTACATTAGATGGTATATAAATACCTTTCTAACAATTAAGCAATGAAGTAATTCAATACTTTGTTCAATCCTATATATGAAAAAGTCATTCAGTATCAAACCCTTCACCTTGATTATTATCATCATTGGAAAAACTGCCAATAAAAAAAGTTAAATACCCCTTTTAACTGCAGGTTGTTTTCAATAGGTACTTATTTAACCTTTTTATCGAACGGACTTGTTGCTTCTTACTTTACAATAAAGCTGAGCAATTTTGTCAGGTGATTATATGTGTGATGTGCATTATATCTATAATATATTATATGTTGAGGCATAATTTGCTCCATTTATCTTGTATCTAGTACATGTATATATATTCTGTATGTTAACTGTCGTGTTGCAGAAACTGGCAGATGAGTACTACACAGCATATAACAACACAACATTCAACAGCATAGAGACAGATATATGTCATCTGGTGTATGTTGGTAGAGTTGAAATGCTCAAAGAATCTGAGGTCAGTTTTTCTCATATGTCGTCACAACTCTTTTTTTTTTTTATACATGTCCGTAACTCTGTCAGAAAACACTAGTATAGGAATTAATACCATATCTGTCATGCCTTTATTTTATATATTACCTGACTTCTAAAGGAACTCAGTGAATATAACTCAGTGAATATACATTTCACCTTTTTAGTGCAATATTGGGTTAACTCCTTTAAAATTATATAAGTAGTTAACCCGTTACAGCTCTAAGGTGATGATTTGTTTATTTTGAAGGAGGAATATGATTTTTGAAATCATGTGGTATGAAAAGCAAACAAGTTTTTTTTAAAGAGTAGTAAAAGAATTGTTTTTATGTATTACATGATAAATAGAAAAAGGTGCTACTGTCTTTTCATATCAATTTTATCAGACTCGCTTGATATGGGCAGGAAGGGCTCGGCAAGCTTTACCAGGCCCTGTTTAATGTATAACGCATATGTAAAACCGGGCTGAAACAAAAGCGCTTGACTCAGTTAACACAGATTTAGTCCCGTTTAAACATGGGCAAAAGGGACGAAAATAGCCGATTTTATGCTATAATGATGTTTTTAACACATTTGTGCAGTTGCTAGGAGCCACATTATCTACTTGAGTGATACAGCTTATCAGAAAAGCATATTTATGAAGATAGAATTTAGTGTAGCTGAAGGGAAGATAGAATTTAGTGTAGCTGAAGGCAGAAAAAAATCAAGTGTACATGTGATTCTGTATCTATACGTTTAATCTGTTACTAGGATGTTGCCCTTTTCATTATCCCTCATGTACATACTCTAACCGAGTCAGTTATTTTCTCGTAATTTTTTTTGTGATTAATGCTTAATTAGATTTTTATTCTGAATATTGTTTTAGTTTTATAAGTAAATTACTGTAAATACAAAAAAAATGCATGAGTGAGGGGGCCTATGCTGCCAATAAGTAAGTGTGCTATTATTGTTTTATTTTCCGTTGTCCACTAAACTAGATGTGTCTCTTACATAATATGTCCTGTTATTTAGCTGTTATATATTGATGCAGTGATTATCTTATGTTACAGAATGCTTGTTTACCAGTTCCTGGGATGACTGAGCTACCGAATTGTCCAGTGTGTCTGGAAAGAATGGTAACAACCTAGTAATAATACATAAAGAATTGAATAATCTTACAATTTTTATATATACATTAAATTTACAAAGTCATGATCAACTTTTTAGAAGAAAAAAACCCTTAAAGGTATTATAATTATGATAGATAAAAATATTAAAAAGATTTTAACAGAAATTATATGTGAAAAGTCTTCAAGCAATATTTGAATACAGTCAGGACTCATTACAACGACACTGTTGGTTCCCAAAGGATATGTCAGTATATCGAATTTGTCAGTATAGTGAATTTCATCATTCATCATGTAATGATATGCTTATTCACTAAAATAAACATCTAATGAAAAAGATTTTTGTGTTTATGTGTTCATTTCATTACACACATTACATATCATACACATAATACAACTACTTCATTAAAATAATAACAACTTAAATAGTTAAAGATTTTTATGAAAATGATTAAACCTTATAAAATAAAAAGCACATACAATGATAGGACTTTTAAAAGTTAAACCTTTAAAAATTGATTGCACACTGTTTGTTGTCATAAGTTGGCAAGTGTAACAAAATTCAACTGACAACAACACGTTCAACTTGGTATTTTAATAAGGTGTAACAATCAACTGACCAAGCTACAATACCTGTTTCTTTTGTTTTATACGCGCGCTTGACTAACCAAGTGTCAGTTTAACGGGTACTGATTGTATAGAAAATAACATGTTTGGTTTCCAATTTTATTGTGTCGGAGTCGGAATACGAATTTTCCGTTATAAAGGATTATAATAACGTTGAAAAAATTTTGTTCCCACCAATTCACTGTCGTTATTCGAATTTGTCAGTATAATGGATGCCGATGTATTGAGTCCTGACTGTATTGTGTTGAACTTTAGATGAAGTCTTCTCTATGTAATAATAGCAATTTAATTAACAAAAACATGTCTACATCTCATGTCTAGATTGTGTCTATGTGGAATAATGGATACTGTTTTTCAAACACTTACTCATTTATATGATGTCAAGAAATTTCTTTACATAACACTTCACCTGCTGTATTAATTTAATTGATTTTTCATACTTTTTGGAACATTTTATTAGAAGTTAAAGTGAAAATTAAACTGATTTCAACATCAAAAATAGAAATACTTTAGCTGCCAACAGTATAGAGCCTGGTCAGACTGCACGGATGTGCAGGCTGGCCTGGCTCTATACTGGTGGCAATGGCTTAATAATTTCCAGTAAGTTAAGAGTTGATTGTTTCATGATCGTTTCAGGATGAGTCAGTTGATGGTATTTTAACTATATTGTGCAATCATGCATTCCATATGCAGTGTTTGGACCAGTGGGGAGATACAAGGTTGATAATTTTAAAATTTTCTCATTACTTTATAACACCACTGCACATATTGTATAACTTAGATCATACTTGTTTCCTTGCTTTTTAAGCAGCATTCACAATTTTATTATATTAAGTCCTTTAATGTACCAATATACAAATATATATTTGTTAGCATACAGCACTTAAAAGTCACATACAGTAATCTTCCCTTATATTTATATTCAGGGCACAACCTGAATATCATTATTATAATATCAATATATTGTTATATCCATGAAGCAACTAGCAGCACTGTTATAAGTAGTATATCGTTTTAAACCACCATATCCTCATAAGTGGAGTCTATTGTATATAACATAAAATAGGCCAACATAGTGTTGTATTTAGCTATTATAGGGTTACTGTTAAATAACATAGGATTTGCTTCATGTATTTCTTGTTATACAGTGTGTTTTATAGAACTAATATTATAAGGCTACCGTTAGCCTGCTTAGCTCAATAAGGAAAGAATAAGATAAATAATACAGGGGTCTCTGGTTCGAACCTTGATCGAGGCGTTATTTTTCAGTGACGTCTTATTTTAGACATTGAGTCTAATTGTCCTTTATCTTTGGCCGCTGATTCAGAAATCATGTTGGACTTGTAGTTGATTAATTGTGGAGAAACTGGTAATTACTGTTAAGGTAACCCGCAAAGCTGGTTAGGTAAACCGAGCCCCTAGATAATAACCAAAAACATGATTAAAAATTAGCATTAACAACAGAAAAACAAACAAAACAAAATATAAGTGTATTTTTTAGTTGTCCGGTGTGTAGATACTGTCAAACACCAGAAGAGGCCGCTGATAATAGATGTATGAAATGTGGTTCACAAGAGGTTAGTATGATTTGAAAACAAATTTAATCTTTGATTACATAATATTTGCATAATATTATTAATATTTTGTACCATTTGAGTTTGAACACACAGTATTTATAAGGTCAAAAATGCTAGAATCATCAAATAAAAGAATCTGAATTATAAACGTTCCAATGTTACAAAATTAAGCAAAATATTCTGTTGCTATTTTAAATTGAACCAATTTGAGATGATATATTTTGAAGTATATGAAAAAAACTACAAAAAAAACAACAACATTGTTTTAAAATTGTCATATGTATTGTGGCCACTTATCAGAATACCTACCTGTAGCCCTACAGTTAGCTCAATAGCTACATGTAAAGAGTTAGAATGTGAATAGGGCAACCCGGGTTTCGATTCCCAGATGGTGCGGGTCACTTGAAATCCTTACAACGGTCATTTGCACTGTACCTCTGCTCTGGCATGTACAGAAGTAATCAGTTCCTAGTAAAAGTGAAGCCAACTAGTACTGCGCAGACTGAACTGTGCTCTGGTAAATTCAGTGTTTGGTACTGCCATGATCCGGAGTGAAACTAACCACATCATACTTTTATAGTAATACATATAATTATATTATATATATTACAGAGTTTATGGATCTGTCTAATCTGCGGAAACATTGGTTGTGGACGTTATGTTGGTTTACATGCCTTCAGGTTTGTTAAATTACACTAGCTTAATACAAGAGATATTTTCAATACTTTATAAAGAGGCGTTCAGTTTTTCTAAAGATTAAATATGTTATTTTTAGATAAATCATTTCATATAATTTTCAAATCAAAAGAATTAAGGTGGAAAATGATATTTGTCAAGGATAAAATACATAAACAATAAGAAAAGCCCTTGATAACTCTAATCTATGGATCTGCTTTCTATATTTAAATTAGTTAAGTGGATGATTCCTTTCCCAATCTTCTATTTTAAGCAACGAACATCACTGGTGTGTTATAAATAACTCTCTGGACACTGTTTTGAAAAGGGCTTTACAGTGATAGGATGTACTTTTCCAAGATATAATTACTGAAATACTTAGTTTGAAATTACACAGAATTGTTTTTCCAACAGAAAATAAAAGCTGAAGCCGCTTTAACAATTAATTTTTAATATAACGCAAGAATGGTTTCTAGTTGCTTCATAGAGTGTGCATTTTTTTGGAAATCCATAAACATAATTTCCTTAATAAACAAATTTTTGCTGTTCACTGTATTCCTGAAGTTTGTTGACTTGTCAAAGAATAAATTTTGTTGTCTGACTCTTGCAGCTAGTAAGTTTGGTTTTAGAGGGAAACTAGAAATGTGTCATCATGCCACGGATGCCCCCGCATGCAGCCAAAATTTCAGATGGTGCATTAATTATTTTTTTCATTTTAAGTTCAAAGCCCTTAAAACTTTAAAATGTTAACACAAACCATTTTCATACAATGTTCAAGACACTGAAATTATTCAGTCTTAACCTTTTAAAAATAACATATTTCATATTTGTAGCCAAAATAATGGCTAAAAGTATGAGTGCTGAAACTGAAAGTACAAAATTTTTCCAACATTCAGGAAAGATAAGTTTGTCTAAAATCATTGAACCACAACCAAATTCATACTTAAACTGCTTTATTCCTAAGATGTATCTATATTATTTTCAAAGTGAAAGGGACATAACTCTGCAAAAAAAATCATCAAACCATGACCAAATTTCAACTTGACCTGCCCATTCCTTTGACATATCCATATGTCAAATTTAAGTTGAATATGTAACACTGTTGGGTAGATAATGAACAGAAACTGTAAATTTCGTATTATTTTCAAAGTGAAAGGGCATAACTCTGCCAAAAAATCATTGAACCATGACCAAATTCCAACTTGGCCTGGGCATTCCAAAAACATATCCATATGTCAAATTTGAGTTGAATGTGTTGTACTTTTGGGGAGATAATAAACGGAAACTGAAAATTTCATATTACTTTCAAAGTGAAAGGATCATAACTCTGCCAAAAATCATTGAACCATGACCAAATTTGAACATGACCTGCACATTCTTTTGACGCATCCATATGTCAAGTTTGAGTTGAATGTGTTGTACCGTTGGGGAGATAATGAACAGAAACTGAAAATTTCACATTATTTTCAAAGTAAAAGGGGCATAACTCTGCCAAAAATCATCGAACCATGACCAAATTCAAACTTGGCCTGTATTTTCTAATGACATATCCATATGTCAAGTTTGAGTTGAATGTGTTGTACCGTTGGGGAGATAATGAACGGAAACTGAAAATTTCACATTATTTTCAAAGTAAAAGGGGCATAACTCTGCCAAAAATCATCGAACCATGACCAAATTCGAACTTGACCTGTATTTTGTCATGACATATCCATATGTCAAGTTTGAGTTGAATGTGTTGTACCGTTGGGGAGATAATGAACGGAAACTGAAAATTCACATTATTTTCAAAGTAAAAGGGGCATAACTCTGCCAAAAATCATCGAACCATGACCAAATTCGAACTTGGCCTGTATTTTCTAATGACATATCCATATGTCAAGTTTGAGTTGAATGTGTTGTACCGTTGGGGAGATAATGAACAGAAACTGAAAATTTCATATTATTTTCAAAGTAAAAGGGGCATAACTCTGTCAAAAATCATCGAACCATGACCAAATTCGAACTTGACCTGTATTTTGTCATGACATATTCATATGTCAAATTTGAGTTGAATGTGTGCAACCGTTCTTAAGATAATGAACGGAAACTGATGATGACGGAATGACAGAATGACGGAAGGACGGAATGACGGAACAGGGTAACACTATATGCCCCGGCCATTACATGGTGGGGGCATAAAAATTGTGTAATTTTTAAAAAGATCTTTGTTTGCTTGGGATTTTAGTCACAGGGGAACTGTAAAAGCCATATGGCAACCTTCAAGGTTCACTAGTTAAAGACCTTAGGTAGCAGTTTATGCTGTATTCATGGCAGGATTTGGGTCAACAGCAGCAAGATCCAGGAATAAATATCGTCCATGTGATTTATAATCCAAATAATTTATGAGCCACACAAAAATGTTTTGTTTTCATCCATTTTTTAAAAAATTAAGTTGTACATTTCTCAATGAAATGTAGGGTGGAGTAATGGATATTTTGATCACACAAGATAATGTCTGTCACTGTTAAAAGTTGGCCAGTGTTTACTCCTCTAAATTCTATCTCCTTAAGGTACACTCTATTTTGTAAATTCTTAAAGGAGCTCCACTGAGGTCAAAAGCCTTAAATCATTAAATTAACGTAGATTAAATGGGGCACTTAAAATAGTAAAATATACAAAAGATTATAAAGAAATATCTTTGTATATAAAGTTTAAATTAATTTTTGTGCAAGCCAGATTTGAGTTAAAAACTTTTCAACTTTTTGGCCATTTTGCATTACAAAAATGATTATTCATTGAGTGAATAATCTGAAAGTTTGCACACAAGTATTTGGGCCAAACCTTCATCAAATGGTACACAAATCTTTTAATAATATTTCCAGTGTCAAAAAAATCTCAGTGGAGTCCCTTTAAAGTATAATTTGCATATTATGTTATTTTAGACATTTTCAAGAGACACATCATACGTATGCTATGGAGCTAGGTAACAATAAAGTGTGGGATTATATAGGTGATAACTACGTCCACCGACTGGTTCAAAATAAATCAGACGGTAAATTGGTACAAGTTGACGAGGGAGGAAATCCGGTAGAAAATGACAAAATGGATGCTCTTAATCTAGAGGTACTTGTGATTTAAAATTTTTTTGTGCGAGATTTAAGTTTCTTTCAAGTATTATCTGGTTAGCTCACTGAAGGTTGATCATTTTCTCGGGTGTTTGGTTGTGCTTGAAATATTTGAAGGTGTGTCTGTGGCCGTCCTCCACCACTTAAGCTTGAAAGGGGCCTCATGTCTGTTGCAGTGCCATTGTGTCTTTAAAACCCAACTTAACAAATTAAACATAAAATTATTTTTGAGAGGCTTAAAGTGGTAGTGAAATTTACTATGTATAAAAATTATGAGTTAATTTTATAGCACTTCTTAGTTTGATTTATGGAGATAATGAGCTATTGTAGTTGGCCGAGTATTTGTGTCTATGATTTTCATTGTAGGCATCACAATTTGTTTTATTTTTTGGCACCACTCCTGTTTTCTTGGAACTTTTTGGAACTATACTTTGAAACAATGAAATTCAATACATTGTAAACTTTACACTCATTTCTGGTATGTTACTCAGGCCATAGATTTTTATATCCTTATGTTTGTATTATGACAAGATACTGATAGCAGCTCACAGTCTTATATTGTAATAGTTATGGCTGTCACATTTTTGCATATAGGTCAAATTTAGGCCTGTTCCCAAATGACAAAATTGTTTAAAATTCATAATTCCATATTATTGTTTCTATAATTTCCCCAATATTTTGAGCATATATTACTTCAATTCTAAACACCATTAGAATTAACATCTGATAAGATGGTGAATGCTTTAAAAGGTTAAATATAAATTTTTCATTTTTTTTTAGAAACATGTGTTTTGTAGTTTTTTCTAGGAATTAGATAATACTTTGTTTTTTTTCAGTACACATATTTGCTAACAAATCAGCTGGAGTCACAGAGATTGTATTTCGAGGACAAGATGGAAGAAGTTGAAAAAACTGTTTTAGGAAAGGTATTAAATAACAACATAGATGATAATATTCTCCTTGCAAATTTGCTCTGTCACAAAAGAATGATTTGAGAAAGATTGTATTAACTCTAAATTGAAAAAAGAACAACAACAACAAAAAAAACTTGATTTACTGCTCACCAGTATGTCTCACATATACTTTATACTGTAACAGGGGCTAAAATGAATCTGATTTGAAGGAAAAAAATGAAGACCTTTACTTCGTATATTTATAGTGTACAGGACATAGTTACTGACTGAGTTACTTAGTTTATACAGAATTCACATTTCAGTTTGATTATGTAGGAAGCCGTAAGCTTATAGCTGTTCCTGGAATCATGCAATACTGAACAATGTGTAAAGTATCTTGCTCAAGGAAACAACAACTTGTCCCGTATGGGGTTTGAACCCTCGCAGCTAGCAATCCTCTGATTACTAGTCTGATTTGTTAACCACTTAGTTATGCAACCTTTTTACAGGCTAAACTGCTTTCCCACTGAATACGTCAGCACAAGGTCAGTTTTTTGCAAGTGATCAATCCCAGGTTTAGCACATCTTCGTAATCAAATAAAAATGTATTTTCAAATCAAAATCACAGGAAAAAGACAAAGTAACAGACATTTTTAACTAAAAAATATATAAATTTTCATGAGTTAAGAAGATTTCTTACTTTTTCATGTTCAGAATGTATACTTTCATCATAGGTACACTTGCTGGAGGAAGAGAACTTGTATCTAGCAGAACAATGTAGTCATTTACACGTCACATTGGAGGCTTCTAACAAAGAGAAACAACTCATGGAGAAAAAATGTAACCATGTGAGTATAATATGAACAAAATTAGCTCCCCTTTTCTAATAATGCACTCTTTACAACAAAAATGAATATATTTTTCAATTATAATTTAATTTTTTGCTCAAGTATTCAAAGAATAAGGAGAGCTATTGTACTTACCATGGCATTTACATGACACTTTGGTTAAGTTATGTATGCAAGTTTGTAACTCCAAACTACAGAGGGGAATGAGTTGAAACTTCCTACACTTACAGTTAAACTTTGTTTCCTCAAACTCGGATAGCTTGAATACCCCTACCCCACTCGCTTGTCCCGCCAAAATTCCTTCATAATATATATTGTTCTACCTCGGAATCGCTCGAACACCGATCCCTCAAACTCACAAACTTAATCTCTGGTACCTTCGGCAGAAATATTGTGAAAATCACACCTTTTTGGTTAAACAAAAAAACAACAACAAAAAACTGGAAACAAAGTGATCCCTCGGAAGCATTAATAACAACAAAATTACACGAGAATTGCAGACTTGTTTTTAATTGAGTCTGTACATGAGGGATAATGAATACGTGCAACATCCCTCGAAAGTTGCAGTTAGATATGTTCTAAATATGTGACAGCCAGGGACACATGTTTTTAAAGGCAATTAAAGTTAATTGATACAAAATTAAAGTTGTTGTTACCAATTTGTTTGTTATGAGTTTGCCGTCTTTAGATAAAAAGAAAATAACTTGTGAAATGGTTAAATGTGCAAAAGTAAATAAATAAATGATCTTTAAATACAGCCGTGGTCAAGTCAAGTCAAATGTCCTTTATTTAACACATGGTGTTGCATGTAACGTGAATTGTAACAGTGTTATCTTTTTATATAGAATGATACTTGTATGTGTGTTTATTTACGTAAATGACTACAAATGCTTCTGTTTTTTTGTAAATATTTTATTAATTCATTGTTTAAAATAAAATTGGTCATTTATCCCATAATAAAGATATAAATATATTTTGAACAATGTTCAACAAGTTGTGAAAATGGTTGCCCAATCGAACTCAACCAGTAACAATATGCATGGATATAGATTGACACAGCATACAGTTAATACTCATTTGACACCACTGGGACACTTAATATTTAAAAGAATTGACGTATTCGATGAATTGATATACTAACAAACAATTATATAATTGACTTATTTATCATAGACCGATGTAAACTGAAAAACCTTTAGGTCTGTGTCCTATGTGATAATAGTTAAAACTTGGTTGGCTCGAATTACCAATCTCTCGAACAAATTTGCACAGGCCCTACGAGTTCGAGCGAACAAAGTTTGACTGTATTTAAGAGCATGATAGGTCACTATTGGGGGCCCATAACTCTATTATGGATTTCAACATAAATATTGCCCTTTTAAGCTCACTTGTTGGTGAGCTTTTGTGATTGCTTTTCGTCTCGCCAGCCAGCTGTCCCCGTGCGATAGCATTTACTTTAAACAATATCTCCTCATCAACCACTAAGCAATTTTCATCCTAACTTCACAAGAATGTTCATTTGGTGGACACCTTTAAAATTTGTTCACAGAATTAAATTCCATGCAGAACTCTGGTTGCTATTTTTAAAAAAAACCCAAAGAGCTAGAGCTTAGATATTTAGCATGAAACATCTTCTAGTGAGTGTCTACCAAGTTTAAAGCCCTTGGGTCATAATTGGCCCCGCCCTGGGGTGGTAATTGATTTTTAAGATCCCCAAAGGATGAGCATATAGTCGCCACTTTGACCGTCCAGCCTTTTGTCTGTCCGCACTACCAAATAGGGAAAGGGGGCTATCTAACTGTAAATAGAACAAAAGAGAACAATAGAATTCATTCAGTAACAATAGAATAAAGAACCATGGCCTTCTAAATAACAAAAGAAAATAACAATAGAAATGGCCCTTTATCCCTATTGGGTCAGACGTCCGTCCGTCCACTATTCTTGTCCGGGACATAATTTTAAACCAACAAGAGGTATCAACATGAAACTTTGTAGGTAGATAGATCTTATTGAGTAGATGTGCAGTGCATAATAACCGTAACTCTGCCTTGCTTAATTTTGGAGTTATTGCCCTTTGTTAATTTTTACACTTTGAACTTTGTTGGGACATTACTCTTAAACTGTAAGAGATATCAAAATGAAATTTTGTAGGTAGATAGAGCTCATTAGATAGAAGTGCAGTGAACAAGAATGGTTACTCTGCCTTGCCTAATTTTGGAGTTATTGCCCTTTGTTTAAATTTACATTTTGAACTTTGTCTGGGACATAACTCTGACACAATAAGAGATATGAACAAGAAACTTTGTAGGTAGATAGATCTCTGCAGTGCAAAAGAGCCATAACTCTGTCTTGCCTAATTTTGGAGTTATTGCCCTTTAGTAATTTTTTTCACTTTGAATTTTGTCCGAGACATAGCTCTGAAACCATAAGAGGTTTGTAGGTAGATAGATCATTAAATAGAAGTGCAGCACAAAAGAACCTTAAGTCTGCCTTGCTTAATTTTGTAGTTATTGCCCTTTGTTCATTTTTACACTTTTAACTTTGTCAGGGATATAACTCTGACACTTCAAGAGGTATACTTTTCTGTTTTCACTAGGAGCATCACCCGGTTCAACCAGTTCTTGTGTGAAGAGAACAACTCAACATCCAGGGTTCAAATTTTATTGACAAATATAAAGCAATAGAACAAATTACATAAAAAAATAGATAATAAATTCTCTTCTTGATTTTATCACTATAGACAAAGAAGAAAAAAACAGTGTTAAACTGCCAATAAACACTGGTTAGGGACTACTTGTATATGTGGCTGTTATGTTTTCTCCGTCGATTTTATAGTTTACAAAGCCTTTTAAAGCAACAACAAAAAAACATTTTTATTGATATTTTCTGTTCTTATAATGATTTCTTTTCATATAATGCAGAAATAATATCTCACACACACTAACGTCACAGATTTGACCCATATCAGTTAATAAATATTTTGACAAAACGGTGCCAATCCGTTTGCGGCATAATGACGTCATTGTTTGTAAACAACTCATGAATGACGCCAAATGATTAATCAAACACTGATGTAAACTCAATACAATACAGTCTGAGACGTAAGTTTTAATTGTTGAAAACTTGATAAAATAACTTTTTTTTGTGTAATAACTTTTGTTTAGTAATTTCTATATCTTAGCAACAGGAGAGTGCGAAATCGAACAGCGTTATACAAAAATCGGCACCGGAAGTAATCTCCACTTGAAAAAATAACATTGGTGAACTTCCTTATTTTGTCTTATTAGAATCGAAATAATATCTGTCTTAGCAGTGTTTATCGGCTAATTAACATCGGTTTTGTCGTTTTGATGAAAAAAAATTAACCACACAGGCCTACAGCCTTCGTGGTCAATTCTTATGCATCAAAACTCCAAACTGGTGTTAAATATCCGATAAACACCGCTCAGACCGATATTATTTTTTGAATAGGATATTGTCTCAACATTTTATATTACAAACAAATAAAAGGAAATGAGGTATTTCTTTTGAAGTTTACAAAAATATCTTACCAGGTGCACATTTCTGAATTTCTCAAATAAGTTCTACAAAAAAAACCAAAACCCAAAAAATTATGTTTTGTAAAAGGATAAAATTAGATAAAATAATTAAATTAAGCAAAGAATTAATCACTATATAGACTGCAGATTTCAACTCAAACTAAGTTCTAACTCTGACTTCGTTAGGTAAGAAATGATAAACTTCAATGTCAATCAATGATAATTATCTTCCTGTCCAAATGTATGCTCTTGCCACACACATACAAGACAACACTTGACAACACTGGACACAACATATGACAGTTCACTGAACAATAACAACTAACAACATAAACAAGATAATACCCATCATTCTATAAATGATGAATGTGAATGAAAATGTACAATGATTCTATAAATGATGACATGTGACTCTTAGATGATTCACCACAGTGATAACTATAGTGATATTCTAGACTATAGTGCTTTATATAAACATAGTACATGAACTTTGTTATTATTAATATTATGAAATCTTGTTCATTTGTGTGAAACTCAAACATTTTACTTAAGTGAAAGGTCAAAGTAGCAGCAAGAATAAACAATTTTAACACTGCATTATATAATAGATATTTCAATGTGCATTAAATAATAGATATTTCTATGTGCATTAGTATGGTATTTAAATTTGCTGTATTAAAGCTTTTAGCATTTTACAATTGTATATGTTTTGTTATGTCTGCATTGATATCCATTGCTTGGTTCTACATCATTTTATATATTTTGATAATATTGTCACTCTCTGTGTTGCTGTGTGTACTAAAATAAAGTGTACTGGTCTCAGCACACCAACATACAACTCGAGGATCCTCTACACCCTCCAGTATAGTTGTCTTATCTTTAAAGTCACCACTTACTCTATATATACAATTATTCCCGCCATCACTCACAAAGAGGGACCCGTCATCTAACAGTGAAATACCCCTTGGACTTTTAATGTCTACATTCCTTCCTATCATCTCTCCCTGCCAGTTAAACCATGTAACTTCCTTTTGGCCTCTATCAGTTATATAGATTGAATTGCTGTTTGTGATGACATGCGAAGGGCCACTGAAAATACTGTCGCCATTGGAATATTTCTCAACTGTAGTTTTAATATTACCTCTCAAGTCCATGATTTTGAGTTCACCAGGATATATAAAGGTAACTGCAAGTTTCCCCTGATGATGGCTTATTCCGTAGCAAGATCCATCTACTTTCTGTTTGTTTTTCAATGAGAGAGAGTTTGAGGAGAAGGAAATGAACTGTATTGTTTTAATGACTGGTAATGTAACAGCAAGTGTATCTCTGGTCACCATGGTGATATCCCAGGGGTTTGATTCAAGCAGTAATTGTTTGATTGCTCCACTTTTTATGTCTATCATTTTAATTGATTCATTTTGGTAATCTGCTGCAAATAATTTGTTCCGAGGAGAGACAGTT